CTATCTTCTTCTTTTTTCTTCCATATTTTTTATTCGTTGTCATTATCTCCTTTTTTATGCTTCTTCTTCATCTTCCAATTTTTGTTCTTTGATCATTTCTTGTGTCTTCATATCCTCCAACCCACTATTCTTCTTTTTATTTCTTTTTTTTTTACATTCTTTTTTGCGATTTTTCTTCTTCCTCATCTTTGTCTTCTCTTATATCATCTTATTATAGTTTCTATTTATCTCTTCTTTATTTTATTTTTGCTTCACATTCCATTTTTTCTTCCTATATTTCTTTTACCTTGTGTTCAAGTTTTCTTATTCCTCTAGAAGTTTCCCATTTTCGTTTCCTTCGTTTTCTTTTCTCTAACTCATGTTTTTAGTTTTTTTCTATGTTTTGTATTTCACTTATCAATTCATTTTGTTAATTTGATATGAACTTATAAATTGTGAAAGCACAAAAAAATTAGTTAAATTTTGTAATAGTTGTTTTCTTTTCCCTCTTATTCTTTTCCACTAATCCCAACTTTTTTTCCCCCTTTTTTTATTTGTTGTCATCATCTTTTTCTTCTCTTCTTTTTTTTTCCAATTTTTATTCTTTAATTGTATCTTCATATCATCCTACTTACTATTCTTTTTTTTTCTAATTTCCTTTACATTCTTTTTCCTGTTTTTCTTCTTCCTCATTCCTCCTTTTTCTATCTTTATCATCTTCGTCAATATAAACACTAAACCCTACTTAAAGAGTTCTCCTCTCTCTCCCATCCCAAATGGTAAGTAATGTTTATGAGAAAAAGCTCAAAGAGCACAAGGAAAACAAGTAAGCATGAGGAATGCATATGTCTGTACCTTCATGTCTTATGGAATACCTTAGTCAAACAAGGAACAAGCTAAAGACTTATCCTGTGGTTGAAAGAAGGGTCAATAGAAAAAATAAAATGATACCCTAGAAAAGTAGGGAGAAATTGACCTTTCAAAGTTCTGATGTGAGAAAGAGAGAGGAAAAGAACTCATTGCACTTGAAAAGACAATCTTGGAGAGATCAAGTGGGTAAGAACAAGTTCAATTGATCGATGTTCCCTTGATAAAGAATTCACGCTTTAAATTTATGCAAGAGGTTAGCAATAGAGAGTTTGGATTGCTGGATGAGACTAGTTGGGTTGGTATTGTTCGCTAAACTTGCAGGGTGTATGTGAAGCTAACCTTATGTTGCTATGTTCTTAGTGGAATACAGGAAAGGAACCTTTCACAGGATATTCAAAAGAGCAAGGGAGCTTCCACGTTTTCAAACCTCTTTCACGGATCTAGATTCTTTTTGCTTGAGGACAATCGTCCCGACCGACCGTCCGAACGCCGCGGTCGACCCGAAGCCCGTTTTGAAGCCCGATTTCATATTTTCAAGGCCCGGCTTAACCCTAAGCCGCCTCAAAAGACCTAGCACTATATATATAGCTTTTTAGCCTCTTGTGAAAAGAGAGCCGCCCTTGTATTTCGATTTCCTACTCTAAGTTTTATTGCAATCATGTTTTCTTCATCTCTATGTGTGTTTGCTTTGATCATGTCTGAGTAATCCACTAGTTAGGTTGCTAGGGTTACTATTCAATGAGTTGCTTGCATGATCTTTGATTTCAATGATTAGCTAGGGATTATATTAGAGTCTTTGTCTCGTCTTGTGCACTTAACTAATGCTGATTGCTTTACCGCGCATCTAGTAATCCGATCTTAGGTTGATTTGAGCCTCGACAGTGCTGTATCATTCGCCGGACATATTCTTTGACAAGCTAGGTTTCTTAGACTGCGAAAGTTGATCTACTATAATCTAGTGAACTGTATCAGAACCTATTCATTCTAAAGCTTGATTTAATCACCTAGGGACATACCAAAAGTTTAGCGACTAGGTAGATTAACAAAGGAGCCGGAGCCTCGAAAGTGGAATGGTTTTATATTCGTGATCTGTGTTCTAGACGGTTCTTAATATCCCAACATCCCTAATCAATTCATCTATCATTGTTTCATTGATCATTGCTTGCTTCTCTGCGATAGCCCCTATGACCTAGCGCTTTTCCTTTATTGTTTACAACCTCGTTATACTTGCTAGTTCGGTTCACCATTACAACCTCAATCATACTTTTGTTTTAGCTTGATCCAAAATCCATAGTTTCAAAGTGTACTCAATAGCCAGTCCTTGTGTTCGATACCCATACTTCCGCGATCTGTGCACTTGCAGAGGTCTAGGAGTTTGGTAAAACCTGACTCCACATCAAGAATCGCCTAATGACATACAAGCCAGGGGTAGTGGTCATGTAGCCTTAGGATTTATCCAAAAGAGAGAGAATCTAGATTAAGACCATAAGTAAGAAGGATTAAGCATATGAAATCCCCTAATCTATCCCATCTCAAACCCTAATGGGGAACTACTCACTACACATGAATGTAAACACAAGCAAATGCATTGAAATAAACATCAAATGAAAGAGGAGATAAAGATGAACAACTTTTATTGAAATAGCAAAGGGCAAATACAAAACAGATAATCCAGGATCTAGGATTCAAGAAGCAAGAGCTTCAAGAACACAAAGATTGGATTAAGAGTTCTAAAAATTAAAGACAATAAAATTAAAGAAAAGCTAAAACAAACGTAATCTAAAGCTTGGTGGTTTTTTCGTGGCTTTTAGCCTTTAAATACAAGAGGATTTAGGTTTAGGGTCAAAGGCAAGTCAAGGGGGAAGCAACATTTTTCGGGTTTGACTTTGACTTCTCAGCTCGATCGAGTTGAACTTGGCCGGTCGAGTTGAGGAACTCGACCGGATGGTCAGTAGGTGGTCGAGCTGGTCTTCAAGGTGGCTTCCTCTTTCTTCCTTTGCGTGTCCAGTTGAGCTGTGTCCGTGCACCAAGTCCTTCTTTGCTCCTCACGTCCCATATGCTCCAAAATGCTCCAAAAGACCTATTTCAAGGACCAAACATGCATATGTATGCAAATGCAACCTAAAACTACCATGAATGCATAAGGAGAGAAAAGGAACAAGATATGTGATGTACTTGCATTTTACATAGTTTTAGCACATCTTTTATGCATCTTTTGCATAGTTTTAGCTTCCATTTGCATCATATCTTGTTCCTTTTCTCTTCTTATGCATTCATGTTAGTTTTAGGTTGCATTTGCATACATATGCATGTTTGGTCCTTTGAAATAGGTCTTTTGGAGCATTCTGGAGCATATGGGACATGAGGAGCATGGAGGGACTTGGCACATGGAAGCAGCTCAACTGGACACGCAAAGGAAGAAGGGAGAAGCCATCTTGAAGACCAGCTCGACCGTCCACTCGACCAACCGGTCGAGTTCCTCAACTCGACCGGCCAAGCTTCAACTCGATCGAGCTGGGGAGTCAAAGTCAAACCCGAAAAATGTTGCTTCCCCCTTGACTTCCTTTGACCCTAAACCTAATCCTCTTGTATTTAAAGGCTCTAAGCCACGAAAAAACCACCAAGCTTTAGATTATTTTGTTTTAGCTTTCTTTTAATTTATTGTCTTTACTTTTTAGAACCCTAATCCCATCTTTGTGTTCTTGAAGCTCTTGCTTCTTGAATCCTAGATCCTGGATAATCTTCTTTGTATTTGCACTTGCTTATTTCAATAAAAGTTGTTTAATTTCATCTCCTCTTTCTTATGATGTCTCTTTCATTGCATTTGCTTGTGTTTACATTCATGTGTAGTGAGTAGTTACCCATTAGGGTTTGAGATGGGATAGATTAGAGGTTTCATATGCTTAATCCTTCTAGCTTATGGTCTTAATCTAGATTCTCTCTCTTTTGGATAGATCTTAAGGCTACATGACCACTACCCCTGGCTTGTAAGTCCTTAGGCGACTCCCCACACGGAAGTGATGGCATTCGCTGGAAAAGATCCACTAAGAGCTCCAATATCTCTTGCTCTAGACAATAGAGGTCTAAGGGGTTGGATGGATTAGTTTGGGCAATGATCCTATGCCTCCAAGGTTTGATTCTCACTGGCTAACCCCCTGTTTCTGAGATCATTCCTTGGTTGATAGCCTCCACCTTGGGAAAGGGTTGGCTAGGCATTGAGAAGCCCAATATCAAGAGAAGCCTTGATACAAGGAGTTTTAAGAGCTAGATTGATTAAGTGTAGATTCCTTTGATTGCAAAACCCTGTCTTGAACCCTAATTCTCTCTTTATCTTGTTAAAGTCGTCACCTTTAGCTTTGTTTGTCTCAACTCGTCCCTAAACTCGATCGAGCTGGTACTTTGCTCTACTCGACTCGAGTCTTGGTCGAGCTGACACTTCACTGCTTTGTTTACTTTTATTGCACTGCATTTCATTTTTTAGGTTGTTAGTGTTACTTCAAATCTATAACTGCTTGCTTGACTTCCTGGTTGTTTCATATTCTCATAGAGTGACAAGTTTCCCATTTTGGATTGATAACCTCTTATACTTCAATGACTATGATGGTTAAGAGGAATTGTTGACTGTGTTTGTGTTTGCATCTTACCACCTTCATTTACCACTGATTGCATTCCACTCATCTCATTTCATTCTTTTCACACACACACAATCCTATCATCAATTTGGCGCCGTTGCCGATTTGGGAATATTTTTGTTGCATTTGAGTTTCAAACACACTTGGACGATCAAGCTATACCACCCCTGTTCTATTGTACTGCTGGGTTTTTGTCTCTTTTTGCAGGTGTATGCGAACTCGATCGAGTCGGTCAACTGAAGACTTGGTCGAGCTAGACATTACAACGGGTAGAAAGAGGGTTCAGAGGTCACAGAGGGTACAAGAGGAACCTGAGGTGCTTGTTGCTGATACAATGGATGTACCAGAGGGGAATGGAAACCCTTTGGGCATGGACTCGGTCGAGCTAGGCAAACTCGACCGATTGGTCAAGGAGATGCTCCAAACCGCCACCAACAGAGACAAGGGATTGTTCCACCACCAGTGCAGAACCACAACTTTGAGATCAAGCTGGGAATGATCAACCTTGTCCAGAACAAGATGTTCCATGGATTGCCAAGTGAAGACCCCATTGACCACCTTGATGAGTTTGATAGGCTTTGTGATTTGACAAAGATCAATGGTGTCTCTGAAGATGCCATCAAGCTGAGACTCTTTCCTATGTCTCTAGCTGACAAAGCTCACCAATGGGAGAAGAGCTTGCCCCATGGCACAATCACCACTTGGGATGAATGCAAGAAGGCCTTTCTTGCTAAGTTTTTCTCCACCGGTCGCACAGCCAAGCTTAGAGGAGAGATATCCAGCTTCATCCAGCGAAACAATGAGACATTCGCAGAGGCTTGGGAGAGGTTCAAAGGCTACACAAGTCAGTGCCCACACCATGGATTCAACAATGAATCACTACTCTCCACTCTTTATAGAGGATGCTTGCCTAGGTATAGGGAGATGCTAGACACAGCTAGCAATGGGAACTTCCTCAACCAGGATGTAGATGATGGCTGGCAACTTGTGGAGAACATAGCTAACTCAAATGGAAGCTATGGAGAAGAGTATGATCGCACCAACCGGAGCTCGACCCACCACTCGATCGAGTCAGACGAAAAGTTGAGAAAAGATGTTAAGGCATTGAATGAGAAGTTGGATAAGCTGATCCTAGCTCAGTCCACAATGAAGAAAGTCAACTTTGTGTCTGCTGAGGAGATGGAACCAGTCCAAGAAGGGGAGGATACACAATTTGCTGAGGTATGCTACATGAGCAATGGGCAAGGAGGTTACAACAAAGGATACTATAACTACAAGTCCAACCCTGCCATGTCATACCGCAACACTGATGTTGCTAACCCTCAGGACCAAGTCTATCCTCAACAACAAGCAGCTCGATCGAGTCAAGGACCACAACATGGGTATGGTCAAAAGAACAATTACCAAGGACCACAAGGCACTTTCCCTGGACAACAAATGAATATCCCACCAGGCTTCCCCCACCAACCGCCCCAGCCTGCACCTTCACAAGAGAATGAGCTCAAAGCAATGCTAAAGCAACTACTTCAAGGGCAAGCTGATGGGGTAGTGGACACAAGCAAGAAGCTAGCTGAAATAAACTCTAAGATCGAGAACCTCAACACAAGGGTTTACTCTCTGGAGAATCATGCTTCTTCTGTTGCTGCTGCTACAAAGCAAGGACAACTACCTGGTAAAGCTATTCAGAACCCCAAGGAACAGTGCAAGGTCATCTTCACTCAAGAAGGACTTGTTGAAGAAGAGGATCAAGAAAGGGTCATTGAAGATTTTTGTTTACTGCTGAATGATGAAGAGATTGTTGCTGCTGAGGCTCCTGGAGTCCAGATTGATCAACCAGAAGTGCATGCACCTACTGTGGCCATTCACACTTCACCAGTTGAGCTCGCACGACAAGCTCGATCGGCAGCTCGATCGAGTCCAACTCTAGCTCGATCGAGTCCGACCTCTTCTGTCCGAAGCCTGTTTTGCTTGATCCTATCAACCGGTTGCCGCTTCCTCGTCTCGCCTACTTAGTCAAGGTCACAAGGAAGTGATTCACAAGTTCAGAAGAGATCTCAGTGGGATTGGAATTGAGTTGCCTCTATGGATAGCATGAGTGAGGCATTTGATCAAATGCAAATGGTCAAGGATGTTCTGCCAACAGTGATAAAGTTTCAGAGGTCCTACAAGAGTCTACTCATCAGTTCAACCTGCTTACTTCACCCACCTTCCTACCAAAGGTCAAGGATCAAGGGAAATTCACTCTCCCTTGCACACTTGGGCATCTTGAGATTGACAATGCCTTAGTGGATTCTGGAGCAAGCATCAATCTGATCTCTCTCTCCATGGCAGAGAAGCTAGGCATAGCTGGAGCCTTGCAGCGCCCTACTACTTCAATCATCTTTGGAGATGCAACTTCTAAGTCTCCTCTTGGAGTGTTCAAGAACTATCACTTGAAAATTGGAGAATGCATCATCCAAACTGATCTCACTGTGATGGAAATGGAAGAAGAGAAGGATTTGCCTTTGTTATTGGGAACCCCTTTCCTTAGTACAGTTGGCGCTTCAATAGACTTTCACAAGCAAGAAGTGATCCTTCACAAGGTGAATAGTTTGGTGTCATATCGCTTGCAGCCTAGAGGTTCAGACTTTTGTGCCACAATTGACAGTACCAATCTCAGTTCTAAGAGTCATGGAGCTACAAAGGTTGTGAAGGAAAGGGTTGACAAGGAACCAAGAGTTGGGAAGGATAAGGATGAGAGAGGACCAAGGATTGAGAAGCCACGTCTTGAGAGGGCTAGAGTTGAGAAACCACGATCTGATAGGCCAAGAGCTGAGCGACTTGTTCAAGCCCCTTGTGTGCTTGATGAAGAGAGCCTTCAAGCTTTGTTTGATGAGCCACTAGGAAGGGCTCTAAAGAAGGGGAGGATGCAGCCTCTAAGGCAAGACCAGGAGATAAAAGAAAGGATCCACCAGCTCAGGCCCCTTCAGTCAAGCCATCTCAGCTCACAATGACTTTGTTCCCCACCAAGTTTGAAAATGGGAAGATTGAGTACAAGATAAGGTACAAGGGGAGATCAAGGCCATTCTCTAGAGCCAAGGCCTTGGTGACTTCAGAACAGTCCAGGGACCCAACCAAGCTAAAGGAGCTTCTGTCTCAAGTCCTCACTATCACCCTTGATGGTGGGACTAGCTCAACCAATGCCTAAGAAGGTAAAGGTCAAGCTATGGGACCTTAAACAAGCTCACTTGGGAGGAAGTCCCATGTTTATCCTTGTACATACTCTATTTATGCAATTTCTATCTATCTTTATGTTTTTAACCTTTCAATAAGTTAAGTTTAGGTGTCAAGGAGCCAGCTCGACCCACGAGCTCGATCGAGCTAGAAACCAGGGCAACTCGATCGAGCTACTCAACTCGACCAAGGTAAGTTTTTGAATTTCAAATTCATAACCGTTTTTTGGTCAAGGGAGTGGGTCCCACAAGCTGATTTTGGTCCCCCACTACCCTAATTCGATCAGAGAATCCCTAGTTTCTTGTTCCCTCTTTATCCCTCTTTTAATCTCAACCACACATCTCAAACAACTCTCTTCCCCATAACTCGATCGAACCCACTTCCTCTCTCCCACACTCATAAATTTCTGAATTTCATCCATCTCTCCCTTCACCACAAGAAAAATCGAGTTTTCAATCCCTCTCTCTTGAGTTTTTGCGATTTCATTTGTTCTTCATCTTGTTTTGCTTAGTTCTTAGTTTACTGCTCTTCAATCCATCATCCAAGCAAGGTATGAACACTTGAAACCCTTGATTCTTCATCTCGATTCCTCCATTGCTTGTTTCCTCTTAATTTTGATTGCATGTGTCCCTTGTGGACTTGTTCTTGAGAATTTGCTTTCATATTTCGCTCTGCCTGTAGACTTGTTAGTTTTGCTTCACCTCACCTCTGTTTTGCCTTTAAACTTGTTGCATGTGATTGAAAGGTTGAATTTGAGTTTGGTAATGGTTAGGTTGCTATGTTTTTCACTAGAATTGCTTATTGTTCCATTTACTAGTTGTTCTTGGTTCAATTTGATTGATTAGCATCCTTTCCTGCTCTTAATACATGAATTAGGTTTGGTTATACTCTGTTTCACCCAACTCGATCGAGTTTGTCACTCGAGTTTTTTGACTCGATCGAGCTGAGTGTCGAGTTGACCAAACCGATCATTACAACTCTAATTTATTGAACTTTTGATGCATTTCAGGGACCAATCTAAGATGTTGAGAGGTGAAGGAAGCAAGCTAGCGTTCACAAGGATGGAGATGATAAGAGGAGCAAGGAGGATACTCAAAACACAAACCAAGGAGGACATAGAAGAGGTTGAGAGGGTGAGGGAGGAAAGGAGAACCAAAAGAAGGAATGATCCTCTCAGCAGTGAGAGCGAAGCAGGAGAGTTTGAAATTGGGGTGAACATCCCACATGAGGAGAATGATGACTCCTCAAGTGAAGAAGAGGGTGAAGAGATCAATCAAGAGATTGAGGAGAGTGAGCATGAGGGCAATGAGAATGTGCCCATGGAAGAGGAGGAGTCAAGTGAAGAAGAGGATGAGCTCCCCATGTACCAAGAGCACTATGATGCTCTTTTCTCCATGGACTTCATGGACACCAAGTACCCACATGTTGACACCATGAAGGCCCTTGGAATCTTTGAAGATGTGGAGTTGGTCCTCAAGAACATGCACTTGGCCAAGCTCTTCTCCTACCACATGGAATCCTACAAGGAGCTCACTTGCGAGTTCCTAGCTTCAATGAGGTACCACATGTATGAGGAAGAAGATAGAGCTGATTTGGACCAAGGATTGGGATGGATCACGTTCTTGGCTAAGGGAGAGAAGAGAATGGTGACCTTTAGGCAGCTGGAGATCTTGTTTGGGTTCAACTATGGAGAGGGAACCAAGTGGAACTTCAAGGAAAAGGAACTCCAAAGGGTTTGGGCTACAATCGCTGATGGAGTGTACTCTTCCTCAAGGTCCAAGGCAGCTCAGATCAGGAGCCCAGTCTTGAGATATGTGCACAAGGCACTTGCCAACACCTTCTTTGCAAGGAAGGCAACCGGGACAATCAACGAAGGGGAACTAAAGTTTCTTGACATGGGAATCAATGGGAAGCGATGTGATGTATAACTTTCAACAGTGTTCATACAATGGACATGGACGTGGTACACTGAATTTGTCTCTATTCTAGGAGGGATATAGAAGTTAGTGGGATGCAGACCTAAGGGATAGGTACATATTTTGATTGATTTGTTCTCTTGTTACGCGCGCGGAGAAAAGATGAAACGATGGGGCATAAACACATGACTGCATGAGAAACGTGATGAGATTTGAGAGAGTAGTGTGAGAGTGAGACAAGAGAGAAATACACACATGTCAAACCAGGGAGCAACCTGACATATACTAGAAGACACATGTTGATTGGATGGATCAAAGGAGTGGAAAAGCTGACAAATGTCATTCTTTTCTTGACAAATGTCAAAAAGGACTCGACAAGTGTTACTTGAAGGTGACTCACGACCCAATGAGCCTATAAATAGGGAACCTCAGCCTTATTTACTTCCATTTTCCCTTTCTTATGCTCTTACTTTTTCTCGAGAGAGACAAAGAGAGTTTTAGAAAGAAATTTTGGTGAGTGTTCTTTTTTTAAGAGTTTGAGTGAGTTCAGGGAGTTTAGGGAGAGAGTGTGAGCTAAGGAGTAGATAGAGGAAATGCAGCGTAGCTTGTGGGGGTGGTTAGGCTGTTCATCAAGTTAGTTTGGTGAGTATGGTGAAGTGTCTCCGAGAGTAGCCACTCTTTTTTGCTTGTGTGTTGCATTCTAGATCATTTACAAACTTGTGTGTGTTTTTTTGATTAGATGCATGTGAGTGTTGTGGTAGTTGTTAGTATGTGTGATACTAACTTTGTTGTTGCAGGAAGTATGAACGTTAAGCAGTATCTTAGAATATTGTTGGACCTGGATTTCCCTCATAACGCCCATTACCTAAACCTTACGGTCAAGATAAGTCCATCCACGCCCAGTAAAATGACCTCTAGCCCACCAAGTATCTTTGTCCAAATCCAGCTGTTTACTGTCCGAGCTACTTGTAAAGTCAAGTCCGCAAGCTAAGTTTGAACGAGTCAAACGAGAATCTCGTTTCGACTCTTTAACATCCGGAAATAGCGGGATTGGTAGTTGCACATGGACGAGATACGCGGAGGAGATTGTGATATATTTCTAGAGCTATAGAAGGAGGACGATTCTTGATCACAAGGCAAGATGTTCTTTTTTACATCTCTAAGAGACTGAATGTTCTTGACCTCTCGATAATTAATCTTTACGTTGAGAATACATTATGTCCTCTTTTATCTACGATCTTATCTTTGATCTCTTAGATAAACCCAGAAAGCTCTGATCTTTCTAACTGGAAACCACTTCCGGTAGAAGTTTGACATTATCTCTTACCTTCGGATAACTCCGATAACCTGAGATTCATCGTCATCTTCACACACTTTAACTCTTTTCATTGTCATTTCTCTTCAGAAAACAACCCAAAATAAAGAACAACTTACAATCGAACTACCTTCATTCTTGATCCGTAGATTAGGGTACGTAGGCAGCTCGATAACGAGCGCAGCCACATCTCATTTCCATCTCTTTTACTTAGTCAAATCTAGTGTTTTACATGGTCTTTTAGGCCGATTTTGTAACCACTTTATTTGATTAACCTAACTCCGATTTCGTCAAATACTTGTTTATACTTGTTCGACTTACATCAGAATCTAACCTCTGATTCCACCGGCAATTTCTCCCTTACAAAATACACATAAATTTTTAGTGTAGTTTTCCAAACCCACAATAACGAATATACAAATTACTTTCGCTTTGAACAATGCTACCACTTCCTTGATTTGAACAATCTTCTTTGTTTATGTGTAGAACTATTCACTTTTTTTCTTTCTCTAGAACAAATTTAAATCCAAGTTAACTCTTGCGTTATGTTCGTAAGATCGTGAAGCCTATTCTCCACGACCAAGTAAAAGTATAGAAGACTTAATTTCCAATCTAAAGAGAATCACCGTACGCATAAAAAAAAATAAAAATAGCAACATTGTAGGAAGCAACCAAGATCAAAGAGTACACACGTAGTGTACTGTTGTAGTGTACTGTTGGTCACACGCATAACTTTCATAAATTTTGCAACAAACGAATAAGCTTGCAATGAGCAGAAACAACACCAAGCTACCTTATACCGAGTGCTCCACTTCTCACTATCGATCTATCATCATGCAGAATCAACATACCCTATGAAATATTCATGAATCTGTTACGAATAAATGGGTAAACTTTCCGATGACAAAAGGAATAACAGGAAATACATCGTAATATTGCACAGGATAAAAGATCTGTAGAGAGTTAATATGGGAGTTCTCTCACTTCCCCTACAAACTTGTGATCAATTCCGAGAATACCCTAATTCTGAGAAAAAACAGTCAACCTAATATGAGTTAGCAAAATTTGAGAGACAAACAATTCCATGCCTGAACAGTAAATATTCAGAGAAGATGATTGGAGGATCATGTGTAAGATAACGGCGAATATGCTATATGGTTTCAAACCAGAAACACAATATAAACTCAAACAATAAGCAGACAATGAATAATATTCCAGCAAAACCATGACCAAATCACACTAACATAATTGATAGTATCATCAGAATTTTAAACCTCTCAAAACTCAAAATCTAATTCATCTTCAGTCATGCTTGCGATCTAAATTTCTTTTAATAAAAACTTTTTTTTGTGGTGCCGCATTTTATAATTATAGGGTATATTATAGGTTAAACGATTAGGGTTTCAATAGAATTAACAAAAGTCTTTTTAATAGTTTTATTATCCATTGTATAAGGAAAAAATTAATGATTTTCCATTATTAAAAACAAAGATATTATCAAGATTTTTATTAAGAGTTTCTTGGTAATTCTGCGGCTGAGAGCGAACGTGGTGCTTTGAAACTCTAACTTCGCAAATACTATAATGATATAACTTGAAATGTGTTTATTACAATATTATTACATGACTATAATTCTTTATTGTACATTGGAATTGAAATATAATATATTATGTTATTCAAAGATTTTTTATCGGGATTTCAATATGATTTTACTTACATTTAAGAATAAGAATATTTTATTTAATATTTTTTTTCATAAACTATTTCCAAAGTCTTAATATTTTCGGAACTCTATCCCTTGGACCCGATCCATTCTTACTCTCTGTTTTATGGATGGCAGAGTTGTTTCTGCTCGACCTCTGGTATACAAAGGACTTATCAAAAGAGTTAGGTTCTTCCATCTCAGTATGGTATGACCCCTGGTTTTCCGACTCTCGCCGAGGCCAGCTATCTGCAAACGAGTTAATTATACCCTCACCTGACGGTGAGTCAGTTAATCTATTCCCAGACTTTAACGTGGAATCGACCACTATTGCTACAATTGTTCGAGAGTGAGAAAATCACTCGCATTACGGGTATACCAGTGGCAACTGGATACAAACCCAATACGTGGGGTTGGTACTTTACAACAACGGGACGTTACACGGTCAAATCAGGATACAGTGTTTTACAGGAGCTCTCAGAAGATGGAGCTCTACCAGTTTTCGGACCGGACGTCTGAAGATTGCAAGCACAATCCTGGAGGGTCAAATGTACTACAAAACTTCAACATTTTCTTTGGCAAATTATTACCTGATGTTTATCATTTGGTGCACGCCTGTGCAGTCGGGAAATGCGAGTGGATCCGTAGTGTGTGCGATGTAGTATGGGGGATGAGACCATAAACCATATGCTCTTTGAATGGCCTCGGCTAGACAGTCTTGGGCCCTATCCCCAATCCCCACGCCACCCCAGCATTTTCCTATGGGCGCATTTTTCTCAAATATGGCACACCTATTCTGGAATCTCCCACACAATGAAGATATGTTGATATATCCATGGTTACTCTGGTTCATTTGGAAAGCCAGAAACTATAAAGTTTTCTCAAATGATGATCACAATCCGAAGGATGTAATGGAATCAGCGTTAACGGAAGCACGTGCATGGGCGGCTGCCCAAACGGTCGGAGAAATAGTGCACGTAGACAACTCAACACATCTTGGGCCCGTCCCATCGGGAGAGTGGTGCCAGGTTGACGGAGCATGGAAAGAGACAGAGTGTCGGGCAGGACTTGGGTGGTACAACTTTGACCCGGAATCGGACTCAACTTTGGTTGGTGCTAGCAATCTACGGCGGAGATTATCCCCATTACAGACGGAATTGGAGGCACTGATTTGGGCTATGTAAAGCATGTTAGTCCATAATAAACAGCGGATGAATTTTCAAACAGATTGTGCTCAGCTGGTGAAGATGGTGTCTGAACCTGCAGAGTGGCCAGTTTTTGAGATCTTGCTTGAAGAGATGGAGAAATGCAGAAAGATGTTCCAGGCGTTCTCCATAACACACATTCCCAGGAGAAAAAACACGAAGGCAGACAGACTAACACAGAGTGCTCGAGATCAGCCTCATGATGTGTATAACATAAACTCAGTTCCACCGGTTTCGTTTCCCGAACCGATTTAGGAATTTAGGCTATTGACAAAAAATAAAAATAAACTCCATGTATACTCAGGACCTTATCTATTATAATTATATACTCAAATATTTCTGACTAGATTACAACAACGGGATGTTACACGGTCAAATCAGGATACAGTGTTTTACAGGAGCTCTCAGGAGATGGAACTCTACCAGTTTTCGGACCGGACGTCTGATGATTGCAAGCACAATCCTGGAGGGTCAAATGTACTACAAAACTTCAACATTTTCTTGCGCAAATTATTACCTGATGTTTATCATTTGGTGCAGGCCTGTGCAGTCGGGAAATGCGAGTGGATCCGTAGTGTGTGCGATGTAGTATGGGAGATGAGACCATAAACCATATGCTCTTTGAATGGCCTCGGCTAGACAGTCTTGGGCCCTCTCCCCAATCCCCACGCCACCCCAGCATTTTTCTATGGGCGCATTTTTCTCAAATATGGCATACCTATTCTGGAATCTCCCAGACAATGAAGATATGTTGATATATCCATGGTTACTCTGGTTCATTTGGAAAGCCAGAAACTATAAATTTTTCTCAAATGATGATCACAATCCGAAGGATGTAATGGAATCAGCGTTAACGGAAGCACGTGCATAGGCGGCTGCCCAAATGGTCGGAGAAATAGTGCACGTAGACAACTCAACACATCTTGGGCCCGTCCCATCGGGAGAGTGGTGCCAGGTTGACGGAGCATGGAAAGAGACAGAGTGTCGGGCAGGACTTGGGTGGTACAACTTTGACCCGGAGTCGGGCTCAACTTTGGTTGGTGCTAGCAATCTACGGCGGAGATTATCCCCATTACAGACGGAATTGGAGACACTTATTTGGGCTATGCAAAGCATGTTAGTCCATAATAAACAGCGGATGAATTTCCAAACAGACTGTGCTCAGCTGGTGAAGATGGTGTCTGAACCTGCAGAGTGGCCAGCTTTTGAGATCTTGCTTGAAGAGATGGAGAAATGCAGAAAGATGTTCCAGGCGTTCTCCATAACACACATTCCCAGGAAAAAAAACACGAAGGCAGACAGACTAACACAGAGTGCTCGAGATCAGCCTCATGATGTGTATAACATAAACTCAGTTCCACCGGCTTCGTTTCCCGAACCGATTTAGGAATTTAGGCTATTGACAAAAAAAAAAGATAAAAAAAAAGAAGCTAAACTCCATGTATACTCATGACCTTATCTATTATAATTATATACTCAAATATTTCTGACTAGATTAATCCCCGCCTATACGCGGGTTTATTTTAAAATTTATAAAATTAATCACAAAAAAATATTTAACAAAATCGGATCATTTTAAAAACTAAATAGAATAGTATTAGAAATCAATAATAAATATCTAAATAAAACAAGATTGGTAATCCTTTTACATTTTAATTATAATTCACATTTTGTTTCTGAATTTTCATAATATAAAAATGAATTAACTTATTTTTCTTTTTATCTAATTAACTTATATGTGTCTAATCTGATCAATTATTTAATTCGTAAAATTTTGATTATTTGATTTACAAAATTGAAAATTAAATTATTGTAATTATAATTCACATTTTGTTTCTGAATTCATAATATAAAAATGAATTAACTTATTTTTCTTTTTATCTAATTAACTTATATGTGTCTAATCTGATCAATTATTTAATTCGCAAAATTTTGATTATTTGATTTATAAAATTGAAAATTAAATTATTTTAAATTAGAAAATTGGTCTATTATAATTTTCTTTTTAATATTAGGTAGTTGATTAATAATTATTCTGTCTGTTTTCTATTTATAGTGTTTCTTTTTCCATTTTTTTGCCTTTGTCCATTATAAAATTTCCTTTCCAATATTAGTTAGGTTTCTTACAATTAATTTGATAGTTTCCTTTTTCTGTTATTACATACACATCTCATCACCTGATAAATATTATACACATATTGCGACAATAAATTTGATTTTGATCCAACTGCTGTAGAATTAAATATGCTTCATTAATATCTTGAAATTTCATAATTATATAATAAGATATCAATATAATATGTTACTAATATTTTTAAGCTCAACTCCCATAAGGATTTTATTATTTTTTATGATTTCTAGCTTCCCTCTTTGGAATAACATATACTATAGTACGGCGATAATTTTGATTTCGACCCAGTTGACTTAGAGTCAAATAATCTCCTATTTTTCTTGAACTTTTAAAGATATGATTTTTAAATTAGAGAAAGATAATCAAAAAAATTTGATGAATTTGCTTTGATGATAAAAAAAAGAGATTACCTTAACTCTCTTTTTATAGGGTTCATATAACTTATTCCATGCAATTATAGGAAATTATACATAACCTATTAAATGTATTAATATAATTTTATTTATTACATTATTTTGAATTTAATACTCCATATGTCTCATATTATAAGCAGTTAGGAAAAATGTATCTGAAAAAAAAAGTGGATGTATGTGGATGTACATCCAGTTTTTTTTCAGATACATTTTGCCCAACTGCTTATAATATGGGACAGAGGGAGTATGTGTTAAAGATAATATAATTTTTATGGATGGGAAACTTTTTTCTTTTAGGATATGACAAATATAATTCTTATGTTCCCTTTTTTAATTTTCCTTTTAATAACATTTTTAATTATTATTTTTCTTTCTTTTTTTCCGGAAACACTTGTCACGATCTTAACGGACATAATATTAAAAGTGACACATGTCACGATCCTATAAATTATAAAAAATCCTACGTGTCACAGTCACATAATATTGGAGGATTTTATAATAAAAGCATGGAAAATATTAAACAAAATAATATTGAAAACCCGATTAAAAATATTTTCATACAATAAGATTGGTAATACTTTTACATTTTTATTGTAATTGATTTTTCTTTTGAATTTATTATATGAAAAAAAAATGAATTAATTTGTTTTACTATTATTTTTATCCAATACAGAAAAACTTACAAATGTCTAAATCTGATCAACTGATTAATTAATCAAACTTTTTTTTGGGGAAATTTCAAAACTACACCTCTTGAGGTGTCAATTTTAAAAAAATAGATCTCTATGGTGTCCATTTTCAAAACTACACTTTTTTCATTATGTAAAAGAATTCTAAACCCTAAAGTATAAATCTAAAACCCCAAAATCTAACATTGAACCCTTAAATCTAAACTTTAAATCCCAAAATCTAAACCCTAATTTATGATTAGTGAACCCAAACATATATATTAAAATTAGAAAAAAGTGTATTTTTGAAAATTGTCACTCTATAGGTGTAGTTTTGAAAATTTCCACCTTAAGAGATGTAATTCTTAAAATTTATCAACTTTTATTATTCCATTCAAGAGATTTTAATTGATGAAATCTTTATTTCAATTTTTTTTACCTAACAAAAATTGAAAATCAAACTATTTAAAATTAGAATATCAATTATAATTTTTTAATATTAGTTAATTGCTTGATAATTATTTTGTTAGTTTTTTTTATATTTTTCTTTCTCAGTTTTTTTTTGCCTCGGACCATTATAAAAACTATATAATGGTGTTTTTCCTTTTCGAAATGGATTTTTTTTTCTTTTCTTAATAGATGTAACAAATGAATTTAAATTATTTGTTTCCTGTATTTTTTATTACTTTTAATGGATTTATTATTTTTTTCATTTTAATTATTTGTTAGTTAGTCTTATACATATTTTTTTTTTATTTTTTTATTCCATGACACATGTTACGATCTTCATACTTCCAGGTTTTTTTTTCTAAACACATGTCGCAAATTTTGTCAGTTATAAAAATCATATGTATCGCAAAACTTTAAAAAACATGATTTTTAAATTGGAGAAATATAATCAAAGGGATTTGATGAATTTGCTTTGATGAATTTATGATTGAGAATCCTTGACTCTCTTTTATTGGGGTTCAAGTAACCTATTACATGCAGTTATAGGAAATTTAGTTTACATAACATATTCCATGTACAAATAGGATTTTATTTATTACATTATTTTGATTTTATTATTTGTTTGGATAATATTAATTTGATGAATGGGAAACCTTTCTCTATTAGGATATGAAAAATATATTTTTATTTCTTTTAACTATAATGGATTTTTTTTTTTTAAATCCTTTATCTAAATTTTTTTTATTATTTTTTTTTCTCTAAGACATGTGTCACGATCTTAACGGACGTAACATTAAAAGTGACACATGTCGCGATCTTATAAATTATAAAAATCCTATGTGTCGCAACCACGTCGTGCACATCCAATTTATATAATAAAAATTTGATGAATGGGAATCTTTTTCTCTTTGGATATAGCAAATATATTTTTCCTTTTTGATATAATAGATTAAATTAAATTTCGTTTTTTTAATTAACATTTTTCTGGAATGTTTTTTTTAAGTTCTCCTTTTTTCCTAAGACACGTGTCACGATCTTAACGGACATAAACTTAAAAGTGACACATGTCGTGATCCTGAATTTTATAAAAATCCTACGTGTCAAATTTTTCCTTTTTGATATAATAGATTAAATTAAATTTCGTTTATTTTAATTAACATTTTTCTGGGTTTTTTTTTAAGTTCTCCTTTTTTCCTAAGACACGTGTAACGATCTTAACGGACATAAACTTAAAAGTGACACATGTCGCGATCCTGAATTTTATAAAAATCCTACGTGTCGCAACCATGTCGTGCGCATCCAGATTTATATAATAAGATTCACTTTTCTTTTGTGTAACAAAATTCACTTTTCTTATTTTTTATTTTGTTCAAAGGCAAAATTCACTTTGGAATCTATTACTAATAAAAGTTGACCCTATATGCATTAGAGGCTGTCCACATATGATTTAAAAGGTTGTATTTGATTGGTCCATGTCATTATCTTTAATTTTTTCTTAATTTTTTCTCATTAAATAATTAATTTATGTAAATTTCCTATTTTACATTTAATTTATTAATTAGTTTTTAATAATGATAATTTCTCTGAATTTACAATTTACAAGAATTGTATAATAATTTTCCTATTCATTAATTGTGTATTATCTAAGTTTACATATATTATTAGTAATAGTTATTTTTTTAATGGAAAATTTACACATGGTTTAAGTAATTATAGACATAAATTTCCTTTCCAGCCAAAAAGATGTTATGGTGTAGCGGTTATCATATTTTTCTTGAATGCAACAGGTATCGAGTTCAATTCTTTGCAGCACCAGTTTTTTAATTTTTGATACCGTTACAAAAATAATTATATTGACATTGTCAATAAGTTAATTCACAAAAAATATCTTACAACCAAAAAAAAAATTATAAAAGAAAACATCGTCATCGAGAAAGGGGTCTCCTACATTATCTTCCCCACTTTTTTCTAGAAAGTTTTACATTTCCTTTCTGCAAATACAAAATTAGCAACAACGAATACTTAAACTTTTATTTTTTCAAACAAAGGATAAGAATGCTTGGTAAATATGCCTAACATAAAGATGCAAGAGTATAACAATGAAAGAGTATATGCTAACGTATTTAAAAAAAATAACAACAAGAGTATATGCTCTGGAAACGTTTTAAGTGGTACTACAATGCAACTACATTAAGCAAATTAATGGAATTTTTTTCTTCGTTTAATTATTTCGTTCAATTTTTTTGGTAGTTAAGTTAATTTGAGATTCTATTACTAATAAAAGTTGAGCCTATATGCATTAGAGGCTGTCCACCTAGGATTTAAAAGGTTGAATTTGATTGGTCCATGTCATTATTTTTATTTTTTTTGCTTTTAAATTAATTTATGTAAATTTTCTATTTTACATATTATTTATTAATTAATTTTCAGTAAAGATAATTTCTCTGATTTTACAATTTTCGAGAACTGAATTATAAGTTTCCTATTCATAGATTATCTAAATTTACATATATTATTAGTATTAGTTTCTTTTTAGTGGAAAATTTACACATGTTTTAAGTAATTATAGAAATAAATTTCCTATTCAGCCAAAAAGATGCTATGGTGTAGCGGTTATCACAATTGTCCTAAACTCAACAGGTATTGAGTTCGATCCTTTGCAGTCCCCTGTTTTTTTTTAAACCGTTTCAAAAATAATTATATGGACATTGCCATTAGGTTACCACAAAAAAAAAAAAAAAAAATCAGACATCGGCATCTCCAAAACGGGATCTGCTACATCTTCTTCCCCTTTTTTCTACAAACCCTAAAACTGCATCTCACAAAACTCTCTCTCTCTCTCCACCGTCAAACAACAAAAATCATTCTTCATTTCCCAGATTTCGTAAATCGAATTGGATTTATTTTGCCCTAAACTCCCTATTTCGCATTGTTGCAAGTTTGAAGCTTCAGTACAACTTCAGTTGAGGGAGTATTAGACCAAAAATGGAGAAATTCGGAATCTATTACTAAGATAAGTCTTGTGATTTGACTGTACAATTCGGCTGCTTTAATTTCTGGCGAATATAAGATTGCTTCTTGGCATTTTTTTCTTATTTCTTCTTCCAAATTTATTTCTTGGTTTCATTATTTCGTTTTAGTCTAGAAGATTCTTGAAAAACAAATTGGATATTGTTTGATAAAGATTAGGATTTGGATAGTTCCTATTTTTGTAATTATCACTTCTCTAATTTCCTTATTGTACAATGACATTGATATACATTGATTCCTTTTTCCATTAGGAATAAGATGATCTTAAATCCTATATATATGTGGTCTTATTGCCACATGAAACCAAGTTCAGAATATACATTCACATCTCTCAATCGATTTTTATAAGCCATGGCAAATTCATGCTCTTCTGTTTCTAATCAGTTAAGCCATACTTTGGTTTTCGATGATCTAAAAAAAGGTTTCAAAATAATGATTTGCTTGTCAGAGTCATCCACTTTTGGGAGGCACGAAACGTTAGAAAAGGCGGATTACTCATGGGTGTAGAACTCCTTCTCATGGATCAGAAGGTACTTAATCAAAGGATTTTAAAGAAAAAAATTGAACCTGAAGGCTAAGGACGTTTGATCTCTGTAAAAACAAGAAAACCAAACAAAAAAGGGGTAAAGTCAATGAGAAGAGATTTCAAATATTATTAAAAACGACCAGTGAAAGGAGAAAACGCTCTAAAACTCGACAGCTATAAGTCTCAGGAACTTGCCAAAGCAATTGCCACCACCTAGAGTTATACATTTATCACCAATTCGCATCCGGACAATTAGATTACAAACAAAATACACCATTTGGACATCAGCAAAAAAAGATTGAAAATACGGAAAATCTAACCTTCATCGAAGCCATTAGCTGAGAATCAGGAGAAGAAAGAAGCATCGAAACTCAGGGAAGGGGATGATGAGATGCCAAGAACAGTGATTTCGATGACTTTAAAACGAAGTCGTTGACTTTAAAACGAAGTCATTGACTAAAAGCCATTGAAGAAAAGTTGTGCTCCATATGAACTGAAAACAAAACCAACGAGATATTTCAAATATCAAATTGATAGCTAAACCGAACCGAAACAAACATAGACTGATTAAACATCAACAAAACTAGCAAACACCGAGAAAACCCAAAATTTAACTCGGTGACGTTATCGAAAATCATTTGACCAAAAAATCAAACCATCAATCGGCGATAAAGGGGAAATTCGAGATTGGTACCTAAGTTAATTGAGAAATTCAGAGCGAGAGTCGAAGGAGATCGAAAAGAAGAAGAAGCGTGAGCTCTCCCCTGGTAATAACAAGATTAGCAACAAAGAAGAGGGATCTAGATGATGAGATGGTTCCGGTGGGAATAAGGAAGAAGAAATATTGTTCGATTGTGGTCGGCAAATGAAAGAAAAAGAAACGAAGCATTTCTAATTTCTATGAGATAGGAAAATCGAACCGTAACAAACCAAAAGAATTTAACCGGGAATTGGAAAAACAATTAAAAGATGATGACCACGGGAAGAAGAAGAAGCCATATGATATGGAAAAAGTGGGAATACATTTAACACGATTATATCATATGAAACAATTAAAAAAAAAATTATTTTTTACTCCTGATCTTTCTGATTCCTTTCTTCCCGTCCTTAATGATCTGTAAAATACATTTATATTTTATTTTATTTTCTAGATATAAGACTTTTAAATACAAAAACAGTGATTTAAAAATAAAGAGATGAATTTATTGAATGGAATTAAATGCAACATAATTAAAATTACAAAAAAAATTAAGTATAAATCATAAATTCATAGCTGGAAAAGCTAAACAAATAAATAAAATTAAAAAATAAATTAAGAACTAAAATATGTATTAGACTAATATTGGATAAGTTTGCCAGATAACCTTTATTGGATATAAAAAAAATTGTCTAATGAATAGTAAAATTAAGGGATTAGTTTAAGAAATTTGAGGATTGGGCTGTTGTATGTTTTTATGACAAAAAAGATTTTTAAAAGGTATCTTACTTATTATGACTACTTATAAAAATAATTAAATTGGTTAGGTAAAAAAAATTAAAAGTATATTACAAAAAAAAGTTTATTAAAAAAAATTATAAACAAAAATTGAAAAATAGTGAAGCATTTTAAAAACCTTTTTTTAATAAATGAAACTATTATTTTCATCTCTTATCAAAGAAACAAAAAAAATTGATGACTCGAACTTGATATACAAATATTCTTAATTGAATCATACATTTTCTTAATATTATTGAATAAAATTAAAATAAAGAGGACATAAGATTTATTTACAAATATTAAAACGGAACCCGCGCGTGCGCGGGTAAAACACCTAGTTAATTGAAAGAAAGCATGGAATTTTTTTGCTTGATACTACCTTATCCTTTAGATTTACTTTAGAAGAATGTTGAAAAACAAATTGGGTATTATTTGATAAAGATTATGGTTAGAATAGTTTCTAATTTTGTAATCACCACTTCTGTAATTTCCTTATTGCATAATGATTCCTTTTACCATTAGAAATAAGATGATTTTACATCCTTTATATATGTGGTCTTATTGCCTCATAAACCAAGTTCAGAATAAAGACATTCACATTTCTCAATCGTTTCTTAAAATCAATGGCTAATTCATGCTCTTTTGTTTCTGATCAGTTAAGCCATACTTTGGTTTTCGATTGCCTAACAGAAAGATGCAAGAGTGTAACAATGAAAGAGTATATGCTAACATATTTAAAAAAAATAACAACAAGAGTATATGCTCTGTAAACGTTTTAAGTGATACTACAATGCAACTACATTAAGCAAATTAATGGAATTTTTGTCTTGGTTTAATTATTTCGTTCAATTTTTTGGTAGTTAAGTTAATTTGAGATTTGATTGAAAGAAAGCATGGAAGTTTTTTGCTTTACACTACCTTATCCTTTAGATTTACTTTAGAAGAATGTTGAAAAACAAATTCGATATTATCTGATAAAGATTATGGTTAGAATAGTTTCCAATTTTGTAATCACCACTTCTCTAATTTCTTTATTGTATAATGATTCCTTTTACCATTAGAAATCAGATGATATTACATCCTTTATATATGTGGTCTTATTGCCTTATAAAACCAAGTTCAGAATAAAGACATTCACATCTCTCAATCGATTCTTAAAAGCAATGGCTAATTCATGCTCTTCTGTTTCTGATCAGTTAAGCCATACTTTGGTTTTCGATGAACTTACTACTAGATTTACTAAGAAGGAAGTAATTGTTACAGTAATCCACTTCGAGAGGCAAGGAATGCAAAAGAAGGAGATCTGCTTATGGGATATGAACTGCTACTAATCGATCAAAAGGTAATAATACCAACATTAATTTCCAATTACAAATTGAAAGTTAAATCAGCATTAGCTTATACTACTCTGTTCTACCATAATATTATTCAGGGAACTAAAATCCAAGCATTCATACCAGTTTATTGACTAGGGGACTATGAGAAAACAATAAAGGCGGGTGAAGTCTACAAGATTGGTAGTTTTTTTTGTCATTATCAACAAAACGAGCTACAAGGTCTCCTCACATAGATTTCTCATCCAATTCATTTCGGAAACAAAAATGGTGCAAGCCAACCATGATGACTACAGTATTGAGGGTCAAAACTTTAGGATTTGTTCCAATGCCGGGTTTAATGAATCTGTTGACAAGAATGAGGACCTTTGTGGTATTAATAACTCTTTCATTATGAGTAGAGTTCAATCAAGGAAGACATTGAAAAAAATATGTTTAGACGATGGATGGAGAGAAACGAAGAATCAGAAGAGGCTCATCAGATAACTTATTCGGAATTTCTGAAAAAATTTATCTGGAACAGCGATAGAAGTCTTGGATAGTACAAAATATGTATGAGATTAATATTTGATTGTACAAAATATTGGCAGGTGACCTTTAATATAGAAAATAGAAAAGTGTGTAATGAATAGTAAAATTAAGGGATTAATTTAAGAAATGTGAGGATAGGACTGTTGAATGTTTTCTACAGAAATAATATTTTTAAAAAGTACATTACTTAGTATGACTAATTATAAAATAATTAAATTGGTTAAGTAAAAATAATAATTAAAAAGTACATTACAAAGAAAATTTTACTAAAAAATTAAATAAATTGAGAAGCGTTGGTAACAAAAAAAATTAAATATAACAATTTAAAATTTCATTAAAATGGAACCCGCGCGTGTGCAGATAAAATATCTAGTTTTGTATAACAAGGCATGCATCATTACAAACAAATTGCCAACAATTCTACAATTTTGATCCACTGTTTCGCACCCCAGTCGAAGCGCTCTCATTTGAACCGAGCGTGTGAAGAACCTCTCTTAAAAGTGTCTCGCGGATCCTACCGTACACGTGTCCATCAAATCCCACCCTAACTATTCCATCTCCCAACTTAACGGCGGCTTCAATCGTCTCCGCCGCACTACCATGAGCAGAGTCCACAATTCCCATCTCCAACCCTCGATCCGCCGTAACTTTCTCCGCCGTCAACATCACATCCCTTCTCGCCGCCGGAGAACCAATCTTCACCCGAATCAAAGCCATAAACCACGCCGGAACTGGGAGATTAATATCCAACTCACTCATATAAAGAAAACCTCTGTCGCGACGCATCAATATATAGTCGTGACTCATCGCGAGGATAAATCCTGCGGCGGAAGCGTGACCGGTGACGGCGGCGATTGTCGGCATAGGAAGAGAGATGAGATCGGCGACTAAGGATCGGAGTTTGGCGTCCATGGGGAAACGGAGAGATGGATCTCTTTCGGCTAAAGCGAGATCGTAGCCGTTGGAGAAGAATTTTCCATCAGCTGTTGTGATGAGGACTGATTGTGAAGACGACGGATCGGAACGGATTTGGTTGATGGCTGAGCGGATTGCGTCGAGTAAAGTGGGGTTGAGACGGTGTTCGCCTTCGCCGGTGAGCTTCAGCAAGAAAAGTCGACCACGCTTCTCCAATGAACACATGTCTCTCTCTCTCTTTCAATCTTTGACTTGAACGTAGCAAATCATTTGTCATGCTTGTTACTAATAAATATATTTTGTTGTACCGTCTTGTCATGTGAAGTGACGTGACGATTACAGAAAATAATAATCGTACTTTGATAATAGTCAAGAAAATGATGTGTTCCAAAAGAGAAAATAAATCTCACGCTCACGCATCTATATTATAACAAGTGACACCTGTCATTTTGCAAAAAAATTCCAATTTGGCACGTGGCATTTACTTTATTAAAAAAAAATTAACAAAAAAATTGGAGAACTCGAAAATCGACTGATTCGCTGAGCCGGGGAAAGCCACCAGCAGAGACGACGGTTGCTGTTCACCAGAAAACAGAGACACCACCACCGACGCGGTAGAGAGATCAGCCTCCTCGGCCGGTGACACCGCCGATTTGCCAGATGCAGGGAAGCGAAAGTGGCGATCCAGAAAACAATGACGAGAGACTTGTGGGAAGAGAGGAATCTAAATAAACATAAGTCCTCACGTAGATCATGCTAGAATCAACCAATCTCAAAAACCCTATTTCTCAATTGAAATCGGATTTCAATCAACATCACAAACTCAACACAAAACCCATACGAATCAATTAACGAATCGACGTGAAATTGACCAGAAGAGAGAGAATCAAAACATTACATCTCGGCAGATTCTTGAACCTCTTCGGCTGTGGAGAAAAAAAACATCCTTTTGCCATAGATCAAATCTTCTTCACCACAAAAAAAACCCTCAATTACGATTCAGTACGAGGGACTACGAGCAAACGAATCGAACAAAATCCACCCGGGATTTTAAGTGGGGCCGACAATAGATCCCTTACGGCGATCGCTTCACATCCCTAAAAAACTGGATCTCCAGTCTCCGCCGTATTAAGACTCTCTCAAATGGGACAAATGCATTCTCTCCAAACCCGGGGTCTCGACTACTCCACTGGCGATGTCTGCATCGCAACTTTTGACCGTATCCGTTCGTCTCCCTTCCATGCGACAAATTCTCGATTACTTCTTTGGACTTGCTGTTCATCTCTTCCTCTCTGGAACGTTCCTCGGCCATCAGCCCCAGTGCGCTCCCTCCAAATCAGGTTAGCCCACTGTAAAGCCCAGGACGATATACTCATTCTTCATTTCTGAGCCCATTTTGATGTACAATAACTCCGACTTCTTTGTTTTTAATGTCATGAACGTTACTGTTGTGTTTCATCAGACTATTTTGCTCCCCTGTAACGGCTTCAATTACAACTCATAAAGGTCATTTTCTTTGTTATTACAAGTTGCAAGAGTTAAGTTAATCGGCGTTGAAAAGTATCACTCTCTCTCTCTCTCATTTTCCCAGGCAGAAATTAGAAAAATGCAGAGAGTTTTTGTCGTGAAGGGAGAGAGTTTCGAAAAATGCCATCGCCACCTACGACGACTTCTCTCTCGGTGACACACACAATAAACGGATCACAAAGCTTCATAATCAACAGGCTACCGAAGAGAGTTTTCATTACTTCGTAAGTGACAGCCTCACCGGAGCATCCAAGGAGAAGACGACACATAAGTGGTGGTATACAAGTTATGGCGCCTTTTGGCGGGAAATCTTTAGTTGACGCTGTCTCTGGCATCAGAGGCAATGGAGTTGGCCGGGTTCTAGCCGCGGTGGCTGCCGCTATGTTGGTCCGTTTGTTTTGCTTGTTTTCAGGACCCGGCATCGCCTATTACCCGAGAACGACGCCGACGGTGATTTCTCTGAGACGGAAGGATCAGGAGGAAGATGGAGATTTGTCTCCGAGGAAAGTTCGCCCAGTGACAATCCAGTGGAGGAACATCACGTGCTCGCTCTTGGTGAGGACATTTGTTTCCCTTCCATGTTTCGATTGCACATAGAAAGTAAATGATTTATCCATTTCGAGATTGTTTGGGGAATCAGAATTGGTTCATATTCTCTGTTATGCTTTTAAACGCGTCAGAATCATTGGGATATATATTTCGTGTAAAATTCTCAGCGGATCTGTTCTTCTCGCAGTTGACTGTGAGGGAAACGCTTTCTTTCGCAGCGGAGCTTCAGCTCCCGGAGATCTCTTCTGCTGAGAAGAGGGATGAGTATGTGAACAACCTCTTGTTGTTCAAACTTGGTCTGGTGAGGCTTTTCATTGATCTCTGCATTTTCGTATATCAAAATCCTGAAATCTGCTTCTTGATTATCCATTTGTGGTTCTCCCAAAAGGTCAGCTGTGCAGATTCATGTGTTGGTGATGCAAAAGTTCGTTGGATCAGCGGTGGAGAAAAGAAGAGGCTGTCACTTGGAATTTTAATTTTTTCTACAGGCTGCTGCTGCTATCTCATTTTCAATTGGAAACGAACGTCCCCTTAGAAGATCCGTCTTCAAGGTGATGCATCCAAATCTCTCAAATACCTTTTCTATTTCGAACTCTATAAGCATAGAGATTCACACATGAGACTAAACTTTGGATTTGCGTTCTTTAAGCTCTTGTTTGTTTGATTTTTGAGTTTGATCATAAACCTTATCCTTGCTTGTGTTGTACCACTTTTTCCTTTTGCAGCAGAACAATAACATAGGCTTCAACAGTGAGCCATGGTCATCTTCCTTAGCATTGAACCAAAGAATAACAAGCATAGGGGATTCAAAACGGTACACGAACTCAAGAATATGCATGTCGGTTCAGCAAACAAGAAGCTCCAAGGTCTCTGTCTCTCCTATAGAGTTGGAAGACCCTAAAGATCCTCCATTGCACTTGTACAAACCCAAGGAAGCTTGCACAGCCAAGATCGTCTCCGTGGAGCGAGTCATTGGCGCAAACGCCCCAGGAGAAACTACTTGCGAGGTATGGAGATTTCTTTGACGGTAAGACGTCGAGTTTGTGTGTGCGAAGAGCTGTTTACTACGATCCCGATACTGGAAAAGAATATCCTTCAAAGAACGGCGTCTGCAGCAACTTCCTATGTGATTCAAAGCCCGGAGACAAGATTCAAATCTCTGGTATGTTAACTAAATACATATAGACACCTTCAAAGAAGAGTTTTTGGACTTAATATAATTTTTCGAAACCAGGTCCATCGGGGAAGGTAATGCTATTACTAGAGGATGATTCAAACGCGACGCACATAATGATAGCCACGGGAACAGGAGTGGCTCCTTACAGATGCTACTTACATCGAATGTTCATGGAAAACGTACCAAACTACAAATTTGGCGGCTTAGCTTGGCTCTTCTTACTTCTTAGGTGTGGCCAACACGGATAGTCTTTCTCTACGATGATGAGTTTAGCAAGTACTTCAAGGACCAACCGGAGAACTTTAAGTTCGATAAGGCGTTGAGCAGAGAAGAGAAGAACAAGAAAGGTGGAAAGATGTATGTGCAGGACAAGATTGAAGAGTATAGTGGTGAGATCTTCAAGCTTTTGGACAATGCAGCTCATATTTACTTATGTGGACTTAAAGGTATGATGCATGGGATTCAAGATACGCTTAAGAGAGTTGCTGAGGAGAGAGGTGAGAGCTGGGACTTGAAGCTTTCTCAGCTCAAGAAGAACAAGCAGTGGCACGTTGAAGTCTATTAAGCTTGACTGTTACCTTTTCTTGCCCTCTTTTCTACTGTTTTGTTGTCTTTGACTTTATTTAAGTATCATATGAAATATTTGAACTGATGTTGTTCTAGACAATATATATTGTTTTTTTTTTTTCATTTTCCGTTCTCGCGCTACTCTTTTTCTAATAAAAGTTTTATTATTTTAGTGCTTATATTTTTTCAAGAGTTTAGTTACTGTTTAATTTTTTTGTCATTTTTTTATATCAATATGTTTTTAATTATGTGACTTGATATGGAGTAAGAATTTAAATGGAATCAATTTTTTCTTGCACGAGAGGTGGAAGCTTTTTTGTATCTTTTTATTTATTATATTGTTTTTGAATTTTGTCATTACTTTTTAACTTATTAATTATTCATATAGTTAGGGGTAAAACAATAACTTTGATTATTTTTTAATGCATAATACATTTGAGAACAATAATTAAAAATAAACAGAGACTATAATTCTTGAGGTGTAATCTATACATTTTATGTTCACCATTTAAGTAAGGAAATATAAATTTTCAATATTTTGTTTTATATAAGATAGATAAGAATGTTTGAAAATTAATTTAAAAATTTAAATATGAATGACAAAACTTTGTAATAGTCACAACCCGCGCATCGCGCGGGCTTAGCCCTAGTAGTTAATAAAACTAAAGTACTGTAACAGATTTTGTGGGTGCTGAAAACTACACTCGAAATTTACAGGTTTTGCAAAGAAGAAAATTAGAGAGATTTAGGGATATATTTTAATGTAAGTCGAATAAATCGTAAGCAAAGATTTGGCTAAACGGATTTATATTAATCGAATGAAAACAGTTACAATGAATTCTCAAAAGAGAGAAAAAACTAATCTCAAAGGAAAAATACAAGATGAAAGTGATAGTAATTAGGTCTGAAATGATCAAGAAGCATGTTCCCTTGATCTGACTGACTTCCAGCTCTTTTTATAGCTCCACAAGCAGCTATGATCCACCTCCGCGTATCTCGCCATGTGCAGCTAACGATCCCGGTGATCTCGGACCAAACCGAATTTGAATAAGATCTTCTTTGACTTCGTCCTTCTTAGCTGTGCTGACCTGGTCCTTGATCAAGCTGGAGCTTGTCTTTACACGGACCGGGATAGCTCGGATAGCAGTTACCTGGGTTACGATGGAGTTGCTTGGTGGGTTCGAGGTCTTCTTACTGAGCTTGAATAGGCCTTAACTTCAACATTGGATCAAGGTAATGGCCCTTACGGACTGGATTCCAGGTGTGGAATCTGTTGACTTAAGCTTGAAGAAAGCTTAAGTCATAAGCTTTTTGAGATTAAGAAAAGAACCATATTTAGGAGTTATCTAAATATGTAAGTTATTCTTTTGTGAAAAGGAAATAGTTTGTAGTTCTCTCTATATAAGAAGATGCCAAGGTCTCGCATAACTTGTGAGTTTGAGAGAAAGAGATTGAGAGCTTAAGTTTTGAGTTATTTTTTTAACAATAAAGAGAGTTATTCTTTATCAATCTTGTGTTCTTAAGTTTATTGGATTCTATATTTGGTATGAGAGCAAAAGGGATCCAATAAGAAATAGTTTTCTTTTGTGAGAAAAGAAGACATCGTCAATCATGGGAGATATTACGGAGGCATCGTCGTCAAAGGCTAAAGAAGGAGGATCTCTCGATACAGTGTCCTATGCTTAATGCAACTAATTATACAGTATGGGCTATAAGAATGAAAACTCTTCTTAAAGTTCATAAAGTCTGGGAGGTAGTAGATAATGAATCACTCGACGGTGACAAGAACGATGTGGCCACAGCTTTACTCTTCCAATCCATACCCGAGGCATTTATCTTGCAGATTGGAGAGTTAGATACGGCAAAGAAAGTGTGGGATGCCATAAAGGCAAGACATATGGGAGCAGAGAGGGTAAGAGAAGCAAGATTACAAACTCTTATGGCAGAATTTGATCGACCTAAGATGAAGACCACTGACACAATCGATGACTTTAGCGGCAAGTTATCGGAGATCTCATCAAAATCGGCTGCCTTAGGAAAAACTATTGAGGAACCAAAGCTGGTTAAGAAGTTTCTCAAGAGCCTTCCTCATAAGAAATATATACATATCGTCGCTTCACTCGAACAAGTATTGAATCTCAATACTACAAGCTTCGAAGACATCGTAGGTCGTCTAAAAGCATATGAAGAACGTATATTCGACGAAGAAGAAGACGTCCAAGAAGACCAGAGTAAATTGATGTATGCAAACATGGAGGCTCAACCACAACAATCATATCGTAACTCCAATGGAGAAAATAGAGGCAGAGGTCGAGGAGGACGCTTCAATAGCAGGGGAAGAGGTCGTGGACGATTTAATAGTGAACGAGATTTGTCTAAAATAGAATGTTACCGATGTGATAAATACGGTCACTATGCATCCGATTGTCCCGACAGATTACTAAAACTAAAGCTCCAGGAGGCACAAGAGAACGAAGACAACAACGATACGCAAGAAGCTGAAAAACTAATGATGCATGAGGTGGTGATGCTCAAAGAAAGAAACGTTAAACAAAAAGATTTTGAAGCAAATTCAGATGGAGATAATGTTTGGTATTTAGATAATGGGGCGAGTAATCATATGACCGGAAACCGCAACTATTTCAAGGAGATTGATGAGTCTATGACGGGAAAGGTGAGATTCGGAGATGACTCTCGTTTAGACATAAAAGGGAAGGGCTCGATACTGTTTTACAGCAAGAATGGAGAGAAAAAGATGTTAGCTGATGTCTACTTTATACCAGAGTTAAAAAGCAATATCACTAGTCTTGGTCAAGCAACGGAGTCTGGATGTGATGTCAAGATGAAAGGAGACTATCTCACACTACATGATAAAGATGGAAATCTGATTACGAAAGCCAAATGATCCAAGAACAGATTATACAAAGTCCTTATGGAGATAGTTGAATCAAAATGTCTATAAGTTACAACAATGAGCGATTCAACAAAGTGGCATGCAAGGTTAGGACATATTGGAATGGATTCAATGAAATCAATGGTAAAGAAGGAGCTTGTGGTTGGAATACCAGAAATTACAGTTGAGAAAGAAACATGTGCGTCGTGCTTACTCGGAAAACAAGCAAGAGCAATGTTCCCACAAGCATCTACATATCGTGCAACAATATACTCGAGCTCATCCATGGAGACCTTTGTGGACCCATTACACCTCCTACGGCTGCGAGAAATAGGTATATATTTGTTCTCATTGATGATTATTCTCGTTACATGTGGTCAGTTCTCTTAAGAGAAAAAGGAGAAGCCTTTGAAAAGTTCAAAAGGCTTAAAGCATTGGTTGAGCAAGAGACAGGAGTTTCTATCAAGACCTTCAGAACTGATCGGGGGTGGAGAATTCATGTCACAAGAGTTTCAATCCTTCTGTGAGATATCCGGGATAAAGAGACACTTAACGGCTCCATACTCTCCTCAACAAAACGGAGTTGTTGAGAGGAGAAACAGAACTCTCTTAGAGATGACAAGAAGTATTCTGAAGCATATGCATATACCAAACTACTTGTGGGGTGAAGCAGTAAGACATGCCACGTACCTTATAAACAGAGTAGCAACAAGAGTTTTAGTTGCACAGACACCATACAAAGCCTTTAAGAAGAAGAAACCTAACGTGGAGCATCTACGTGTGTTTGGGTGTATCAGTTATGCCAAAATAGAAACTCAACATCTAAAGAAGTTAGATGACAAATCAAGAATACTAGTGCACCTCGGAACTGAGCCAGGATCAAAAGCCTATAGGTTACTTGATCCAGCAAGTCGGAGAATAATAGTAAGCAGGGACATTGTCTTTGATGAGAGCAAAAGTTGGAAGCGGAGCAACTTTGAAAAGGAAGTTACGGATGAACCAGGAATGTTTAAACTTGGTTTTGGCGAGTATGGGAATAATGGCTTAAGAGAAACAGAGGATAGAAGAGAAACAGAGGAGAACAGAGAGAGAGTTAACGAGGGCGTTAACAAAGAAACGGATAACGATGAGGTCACCGTATACAATGGAGACTTACTTCATGAAGAAGAGAAAGATCAGAACCAAACAGTTTTGAGAAGGTCAATAAGAGCAAGACATAAACCGAGTTACTTGGAGGATTACATATTGATGGTTGAACTCGCGATTGAATTAGAGAATGAGGTTCTTCAGATGTTGATAAATGAAGAACCATGGGATTTCAATGAGGCAAAAGAGGAGAAAGTATGGAGAGAGGCATGTAAAGAAGAAATATCATCGATTGTTAAGAACAAAACATGGGATTTGGTAGATCTTCCTGCTGGAGCTAAAGCGATCGGGTTGAAGTGGGTCTTTAAGATAAAACGAAACTCTGACGGAAGTTTAAACAAACATAAATCAAGACTTGTGGCAAAGGGTTACGTACAAAAGTTCGGCGTAGACTTCGAAGAAGTATTCGCTCCAGTTGCACGCATAAAAACAATCAGGTTTCTCATCGCTTTAGCAGCCTCAAACGGTTGGGAGATACATCACTTGGATGTAAAAACTGCTTTTTTTCATGGTGAATTAAAAGAAGATGTTTATGTTACTCAACCAGAGGGATTTGTGATAAAGGGAAGTGAAGAGAAAGTATACAAATTGAAGAAGGCACTTTATGGATTAAGAAGGCACTTTATGGATTAAGACACGCACCACGAGCTTGGAATGAGAAGCTAAACAAAGTTCTTGGAGATTTGAAGTTTGTAAAGTGCTCAAAGGAACCTTCTCTGTATCGAAAACAGGAGGAGGAACATATTCTTCTAGTAGCTGTTTACGTGGATGATCTCCTTGTTACGGGTTCAAGTCTGGAGATGATAATTGAATTCAAAAGGGGAATGTCAGCAAATTTCGAGATGAGTGACCTTGGAAAGCTTACTTATTATCTTGTTATTGAGGTGTATCAACATGAAGATGGGATCACACTTAAACAAGAAAGATATGCGAGAAAGATACTAGAAGAAACGGGGATGAAAGATTGCAACGCTGTTCACGCTCCTATGGATTTGGGTCTAAAGCTCTCCAAGGGACAAGGAGAAAGAAGAATAGATGAGACAGAATATAGAAGAAATATCGGATGTCTTCGATATTTACTTCATACACGACCTGACCTTGCATATTGTGTTGGAGTACTCAGTAGGTATTGATGCGGAGTCAGGTTTTACCAAACTCCTAGACCTCTGCAAGTGCACAGATCGCGGAAGTATGGGTATCGAACACAAGGACTGGCTATTGAGTACACTTTGTAACTATGGATTTTGGATCAAGCTAAAACAAAAGTATGATTGAGGTTGTAATGGTGAACCGAACTAGCAAGTATAACGAGGTTGTAAGCAATAAAGGAAAAGCGCTAGGTCATAGGGGCTATCGCAGAGAAGCAAGCAATGATCAATGAAACAATGATAGATTAATTGATTAGGGATATTGGGATATTAAGAACCATCTAGAACACAGATCACGAATATAAAACCATTCCACTTTCGAGGCTCCGGCTCCTTTGCTAATCTACCTAGTCGCTAAACTTTTGGTATGTCCCTAGGTGATTAGATCAAGCATTAGAATGAATAGGTTCTGATACAGTTCACTAGATATAGATAGATCAACTTTCGCAGTCTAAGAAACCTAGCTTGTCAAAGAATATGTCCGGCGAATGATACAGCACTGTCGAGGCTCAAATCAACCTAAGATCGGATTACTAGATGCGCGGTAAAGCAATCAGCATTAGTTAAGTGCACAAGACGAGACAAAGACTCTAATATAATCCCTAGCTAATCATTGAAATCAAAGATCATGCAAGCAACTCATTGAATAGTAACCCTAGCAACCTAACTAGTGGATTACTCAGACATGATCAAAGCAAACACACATAGAGATGAAGAAAACATGATTGCAATAAAACTTAGAGTAGGAAATCGAAATACAAGGGCGGCTCTCTTTCTCAAGAGGCTAAAAATCCATATATATAGTGCTAGGTCTTTCTAGAGGCGGCTAGGGTTAAGCCGGGCTTGAAAACATAAGTTTGGGCTTCAAAAAGGGCTTCGGGTCGACCGCGGCGTTGGGACGGTCGTGCGGGACGATCGGCCGGACAATCGGGTCGTGGCCGAGTCGGAACGGTCGGGGTCGGACGGATTCACGGTCGGTCGGCGTGGTCGAGCGGATGATTTGGCCGATGAAATTCTCGGCCGGACGCGGGACGTTCTTTCCCGGCTCGGACGGATGCATCGGCCGGTACGCGAACGAGTTGCGCGGCCGCGAGGCTTTTCCCGGCTCGCGCGCTTTGGTCGTGCGCGGTGGCGTGGCGTGTGGCTGGCCGACCGCGGGCAGTTTCCCGGGTCGTGATGCGTGATCGGCCGAGTGGTTTGGACTTTGGCCGAGACTTCAGTCGGACGGACGAGTTTGGCCGAGCGCGGAACATTCGTTCCTCGGCCAGCCGGACTGCGCGGTTGGGCGCTGTTCTCTCGATAGAGCCGTCTGGACAGTCTTCACTCTTTTGGTATAACTCCTTTTCTACTCATCCAAATGAGGCCATTCCAGTTGCGTTGGAAAGTTAACTCAATCAGAGCACGCAGGGAACTGGTCTTGATGAAATCCATTGAGTAGATCTTTTTCTGGGCCCTCTTAAAGTTGGTGCTTGTGCATGGAGCTGCTTGAAGTGCAAATCCTATGGTTTTGCTCCAAAATGCATCATTTCACCTGTTTAGACTCTAGACACTATAAACACAGTAAAACTACCTTTTTAGATAGAAAACCTGCCAAAAACCATTAGAAAACAATGCTAAAACAGTATAAAAAGTGGGTAAATTAGAGGTATATCAACTCCCCCAGACTTAGATCTTTGCTTGTCCTCAAGCAAAAAGAATCTAAATCCGTGAAAGAGGTTTGAAAACGTGGAAGCTCCCTTGCTCTTTTGAATATCCTGTGAAAGGTTCCTTTCCTGTATTCCACTATGAACATAGACAACATAAGGTTAGCTTCACATACACCCTGCAAGTTTAGCGAACAATACCAACCCAACTAGTCTCATCCAGCAATCCAAACTCTCTATTGCTAACCTCTTGCATAAATTTAAAGCGTGAATTCTTTATCAAGGGGACATCGATCAATTGAACTTGTTCTTACCCACTTGATCCTCTCCAAGATTGCCTCTTTAAGTGCAATGAGTTCTTTTCCTCTCTCTTTCTCACATCAGAACTTTGAAAGGTCAATTTCTCCCTACTTTTCTAGGGTATCATTTTATTTTTTCTATTGACCCTTCTTTCAACCACAGGATAAGTCTTTAGCTTGTTCCTTGTTTGACTAAGGTATTCCATAAGACATGAAGGTACAGACATATGCATTCCTCATGCTTACTTGTTGTCCTTGTGCTCTTTGAGCTTTTTCTCATAACATTACTTACCATTTGGGATGGGAGAGAGAGGAGAACTCTTTAAAGATTAGACAAATCTTATTGAAAATCAAGCAAGGAACTGTCGACATGTATGCCAACCCCCTTGACAAGAGTAATTAAGATTGATTAAGTGTGAGGTTAACTCTAGATTGCTTGGTTACCTTAGAAATTTTGCTGAGCTAGCATGTCGATCCACTGTAAGAGCTTCTGTTAGGCTTGTGCCTTTAGCTGGTTTCTGCTCTAGGGTCATGGATTGTTAGCATAACACTCTCAATTCTCAAAGCAAGTTCATAACTTCCGGACTGGTTTTTGACTCAATAAAACTTTTTGAAAAACATGAAACAAAGTGAATAAAACATAAGAAAAGAAAGAAAAATGCATTAGTAACACAATAAAACTCCCCCCAGACTTAACTTGCACCGTCCCGGTGAAAGCAAATCACATTAAGGTGAGAGGTAATATTCAAAGTAAAAGAAAAATAAAGAAAAATTCATTAAAATAAGATAGGGATAGAAAATGGAGATTTGTAAGTGTCCATTGCACTAAGTACCACTTGAGATGACTATGTGTGGCAGTGAGAAGAACTCTCTTCCTCATCTATGGGGTCATCGCCTTCTGAACCAAGCTCTGAGTCTAGTGAGAACTCACCAAGGTCAGGCTCATATGGCTCTCTAGCGGTGGAAGAAGGGCGAAAGAGTCTCTCCGGTGCAATGTGGCGAACTACGCGGACTAGGCGCGAGATGAAGCGAGATTGGCATTCCACTATCTTCTCCAGCTTGTTAACACGGTCTAGAGCTTGGTGCGCAGCCATGCCAGTAGTGAGAACATGGCGTTCTTGGAGGCGGCGTTGAGTCTTGACTGCATGCTGAAGTGTGCGATAGGTGAGCATGGGGAATGATGGTTTCTCACTTGATGGAACATAGAACTCTTCCTCATTGGGCTGGAAAGTGACAACTCCTGAGCGTAGGCTTGGGATGTCTCATGTGGCAGCAAGACAAGGGAAGTGTTGGCTGGACCAATTGGAAACTCATAGCAAAACCGAGTTGGGTCTTTAGTCCAACGGTTTAGGAAGTGGATGTGCTGAAGAGCATGGAGATCCAAAGGGGTTGGCTTGGGTAGTGGCTCATAGTTGGGAATGTCAATCCCCACATGCAGTACTATGGCCGTGATAAGCCTCCCAAAACGAACACAAAGCTTCTTGTTGCCTTCCAAGTCTTTAGCTAGCTTCCTCACATTGATGAATGTCTTGGCAAGTAAAAGTCCAAGGTTGGCCTTGTACTCATGCTTGATGAATGGTGTGGTGAGGATGTAGAACTCATCAGTTGTGACCTTGTTGGCTTCTTGTTTGCATTGGAAAGTGGTGGAGATGAGGCGGTGCACATAGCGAATGGCTGGATGAGTGATTCTAGACACCTTTGACCTTGAAGGCAAGAATGGTTCATTGGCAAAGTGTGTCCAATCAGCAAAGGCAGCTTGTTTCCTCTTTGAGTTCTCCTTGAAGTCATGTGCTGTCTCATTGGGAAGTCCAAAGAGTTGGCATAGAGCTGAGATGGATATGCGCCCATTGGCATCGCCTATCTTGAAGAGTAGGAGTCCATCACCAGCTGGTTGGTCTCCATTGTGGTTGGGAAAGGCAAGAGCTACTGTAGAGAGGAACTCCTTGGTGAGTTGTGAGTACTCACTACATTCTAGCTTGAAGAGCTTGCTCAAGCCTAGCTTCCTTATGTACCATGTGACATCATCTCTTATCTTGAGAAGATCAAGGGTTTGGGTGTCCATCTTCACACATGGCTCGATGTTCACCTTCTCCATTGCCTTCTTACACTTTCTTGGGTCTTGATTTTGTTCTCCAACAAAGGTTACAAGTGCCCAATCATCTTCTCCTCTTCTTGGACTCTCCACATGTTCTTGATTGCATCAATGGAATGTGGTGAAGTTGGTATTGCTGCTCTTGCATTGGAGCTACTACTCCCTAGCTTGATTTGCTTCTTTGGTGGTTCCATGAATGGGTTCTTCTTCTTCTTCATACTCTCATTTCCTTTTGTCTTTGCCATTGTGTACCTACAAGAGCAAATTCTTGGGAAGAAATATGAGTTTGTGATTAATGCAAAAGAAGAATAAGCTAATTGAGTTGCAATAATGATATGGAATAAAGGAACAACTCAAGGCTTAATCATGAATCAAAGAGACAAAATAGAAATTTCACTTTTTCAAAATTAATTTTCGGATTTTACTGTTCATCCCAAGATTATGGTGCTTAAAATCAAAATTTTCAGCAAATCAAGAGAAATTGAGTTTCTAATCCAAGTAATCACTAGATAAACTAATGAATTGAAGTATGCCCAAGCAATTTCACCTTTGAATAAGGGGTTTGGAATGCCCAATAAGTTTTGTGAAAAACTATTCAATTGTGAAATTAAACTTCAAATTAACTCTAAACCACCTAGGTTCCACCTAGCAAAGTTCATTACAAGACTATAAGGATGCTAATTTCAAGTCTAGACAAGAGTTTAGACCAAACATGAAACTTATTGAAGATTTTCGATCTTGCATAAACATAGGATTAGAGTTAGAAGACATACCTTGTGTGTTGAAAAGTGAATAAGGTTGCAAGAGCAAGTAAATTCCAATTTAGAGTTATGAACAGTAAAAGTTTTGAAATCAAAACTCTTAGAGTTCCTCTAATGGAGTTTAGGGTTTTGGAGAAGAAAGAGAGGTTCTTGTGGTTTTCAAGGGAAAGGTGAAGTAAATAAGATCTAAATCCTATCAATTTTCCTTTTCAAATTCGAATTTTGATTGAAAACCGGTTTAAGTTGGTTTAGATTGGTTAAAACCGGTTTGAATTAATGAAAAGGGGACTTACCTTGGCCTAGAAAAGTTTTGGGCCGATGGCCGATGGATTTTGTCGCGGTCGAGCGATTTGGTCGGCCAAATTTGTTTTGGCGAGAGATTTCGGCCGAGGCCGAGTTGTTTCCCGGATCGACCGGCACGGTCGGTCCGTTCCGATACAAAATCGGCCGATCGCGGCCTTTTCTTCCCGGTTCGTGCGTGCGCGCGAACGTTTTGTCGCGCGATGATCAATCCGGCCGAGCACGCTATTCCTTCCCGGCTCGACCGTACGGTCGGCCAGATTGGAAATTGCTCGGCCAAAATTTCTTTTGCGCGTCCGCGGCCAATGTTTTGGCGCGGATTGTGTTTTCACACCTTTTTCTCCTTCTATCCTATCTTAAAACAAAGAAAACACAAAAGCAAAACAAAAACTAAGAAAATTAAAGAAAGAAAAGTAAAAGTACCTCATGGGTTGCCTCCCATGCAGCGCTTGTTTTAAGTCTTTAGCTTGACTGTAAGGCTTGGCGCTCAGGAGAAGATGAGACAAGAGGCATCTTGATCCTCCAAGTCTTTTCTCCTTGCAATGAGTATCTGGTGGGTGATTCACAGCTGGATAGACAATCTCTCCATGAATGTCCCTTGGCACTACTGCCTTAGGAAAAAGCTTTAGAGTTCTTGTCACTTCTCCTTGAATCCTTCTAGATTCTCATCAATAAGCTCCTTTGGGAATAGAAGCTTCATGTTGCGGCCAGACCTAGGTTTTCTAACCTTCCTTCTTGGCTTGGCCTCATCTTCAATCTTGGTTGATCCCTTGGGCGGTTTTGGTGTAGGGGCCTTAGTCTTACTCCTTGCTTGTTTGGCAAGCTGCTTGGGCTTAGGAATGGGATCTTCCTTGATTGTTTCTTCAGTTTCTCCTTCTTGGGGTGGCTTCAAAGTAGCTTTCTCCTCTTGGACCATGTCAACAAAAGAGTTCTTTGTTGAACACATAGGGAAGAACATACCCTTGTTCACCTTGTTGAAAGAGATTCTTTGATTGGGGAAATCAAATATGGCACCCACAGTAGACAGGAAAGGGGTTCCAAATATGAGAGGTCTATGGCTACTCTCTCTCATTTCCACAATCTGGAAATCAGTAGGGATAGAGCAATTTCCAATCTGCACCATCACATTAGGCACAAAGCCATAGGGGTTTGTGAGAATGAATCAGCATAGTTGATGGAGATGGATGATGGCTCTATCTTGGTGAGGCCTATCTTGTCAGCTATCCTCTTAGACATGATGTTCACATTGGCTCCTGTGTCACACAAAGATTGCTCAAGAATGTTACCTTTGATGATACAAGGCACAACAAACTTTCCTGAGTTATCTGTCTTGGGGATAATCTTTGGGAAGAGTCTTCTCTTTCTAGCTCGATTGGACTCTCTCTCTGGGTAATTCTCTTCAGGCCAAATCATGCAATCAACAGTAGGTTTTGAAAGCATCCATTCTGGAACTTGGTCTTCAAATCTTTCTTCTATGGCGGCTGAGTTGCAAAAGGACTTCTTGGATTCAGCTTCCTGTCTCTTAACAGCTTCCATAGTTTGAGTGACTTGAGTCTCTAGTTTCTTCACATGAGTGGCAACAGCATCATACTTGGTGTTGAGATTGCTGAACAAAGTGTCCATCTTCTCATACATCTCTTTAGTGTTTCTCTTCTGGCCATCCATGATCTGTTGGAGGATTCCTTCAAATCTCCCACCTTGTTGGTTTGGAGGAGCTTGATTTGGTGAAGAAGCATATGGCTCCTTGGGCGGATATGATGATCTCTGCTCATATCCTTGCCTTGGCTGAAATTGACTTCCTTGAGATTGGTAAGGAGGTCTTTGTTGTTGTGGATACCTTGGAGGATACACTTGGTCTTGAGGATTCTCCACATTGGGGTTTCTATAAGACATGTTGGGGTTTGGGCGATAGCTTGGATTGTATCCCTTGTTCCCATAGTTTCCAATGTAGTTCACATCTTCTTCATTGGCTTCATTAGAGAAATCTCCCATGCATTCTCTTGATGAATCTTCATTAGCATCACTCATCCCTTCTATTGCATTGATATGCTTGAGCTGTCCCTTAAGAACTTGAGCCATCATGTTCTTGAGTTCAGTCATTTGAAAAGAATCAGGGGAGCTAGTAGTGGTGCGGCTTGAGCGGTCATAATCAGGACAGTTGTTACAATCACTAGCTGCAAGATTCTCAATAAGAACCTTAGCTTCATCAACAGTCTTGGTCATGAAGTTTCCATTGCTTGCTGTATCCAATGAAAGCTTGTACTTGTGGTCAATGCCACGATAGAAGATGTTCCATAGGTTTCCCTCATTGAAACCATGATTAGGGCAGTCCCTAATGTACTCCTTGAATCGATCTAGCGCCTCATAGAAAGATTCATTGTTGCTTGGCGAAAGTGGAGATCTTGTTTCTCACAGAAATTGATCTCTGTTTGGTGTAGAAGTGGTTGATGAATGCAGCCTTGTACTCATCCCAAGTGGTGATGGAGTGAGCTGGCAGAGACTTCAACCATCTTGAAGCTTTGTCGCCAAGAGAGAATGAAAAGAGCTTGCACTTAAGGTAGTCAGCAGAGACTCCATTGGATCTTGTAGTGCTGCAAATTTCTTCAAAGTTTTCTATGTGATCAAGAGGGTGCTCAGCTGGAAGTCCATTGAATTGGTTCTGTCTAACCAATGCAATGATCTGAGGCTTGATCTCATAGTCATTCCTTGCAGGAAGGTGGTGGATGGATAGGGTTTCTATCCATGAAGAAAGCATCGGCAGAGTCATAGTCTCCGATTGTAGGTGCTCCAGCTTGGGGTTGTGCGTTCACATCTCCAGCAGGGTCTTGTGGATTAGGAGGAGGAGGAGGTGGATCTCTTCCTTCTTCTTGAGCGCGCGCCACTTCAGCGGCGTGAGCGCGAGCTGCTTCGTCGGCCATCTCTTGGGCTTTTGCTTCCTAAGTTGCTTCTCAAGCTTGTCTATCTCTGGATGTTCAACTAGGTTGTCCTTGTTGGACCTCCTAGTCATGCACCTGAAAAGAGTCTTGGAAACAAGTTAAATCAAAAGGGAAAAACAAAAACAAAAGTAAAAATCAAAGAAAAGGAAATCAAAAACTGAAAATTCAAAAGCAAAAGAAAAGTAAAACAGGAAAAGGTTCTAGACTAGATCCTAGTCGAGTTCCAAAGGTACTGCTGCAGTCCCCGGCAACGGCGCCAAAAACTTGATGCGGAGTCAGGTTTTACCAAACTCCTAGACCTCTGCAAGTGCACAGATCGCGGAAGTATGGGTATCGAACACAAGGACTGGCTATTGAGTACACTTTGTAACTATGGATTTTGGATCAAGCTAAAACAAAAGTATGATTGAGGTTGTAATGGTGAACCGAACTAGCAAGTATAACGAGGTTGTAAGCAATAAAGGAAAAGCGCTAGGTCATAGGGGCTATCGCAGAGAAGCAAGCAATGATCAATGAAACAATGATAGATTAATTGATTAGGGATATTGGGATATTAAGAACCATCTAGAACACAGATCACGAATATAAAACCATTCCACTTTCGAGGCTCCGGCTCCTTTGCTAATCTACCTAGTCGCTAAACTTTTGGTATGTCCCTAGGTGATTAGATCAAGCATTAGAATGAATAGGTTCTGATACAGTTCACTAGATATAGATAGATCAACTTTCGCAGTCTAAGAAACCTAGCTTGTCAAAGAATATGTCCGGCGAATGATACAGCACTGTCGAGGCTCAAATCAACCTAAGATCGGATTACTAGATGCGCGGTAAAGCAATCAGCATTAGTTAAGTGCACAAGACGAGACAAAGACTCTAATATAATCCCTAGCTAATCATTGAAATCAAAGATCATGCAAGCAACTCATTGAATAGTAACCCTAGCAACCTAACTAGTGGATTACTCAGACATGATCAAAGCAAACACACATAGAGATGAAGAAAACATGATTGCAATAAAACTTAGAGTAGGAAATCGAAATACAGGGCGGCTCTCTTTCTCAAGAGGCTAAAAATCCATATATATAGTGCTAGGTCTTTCTAGAGGCGGCTAGGGTTAAGCCGGGCTTGAAAACATAAGTTTGGGCTTCAAAAAGGGCTTCGGGTCGACCGCGGCGTTGGGACGGTCGTGCGGGACGATCGGCCGGACAATCGGGTCGTGGCCGAGTCGGAACGGTCGGGGTCGGACGGATTCACGGTCGGCCGGCGTGGTCGAGCGGATAGATTTGGCCGATGAAATTCTCGGCCGGACGCGGGACGTTCTCCCGGCTCGGACGGAGCGTCGGCCGGTACGCGAACGGTTGCGCGGCCGCGAGGCTTACTTTCCCGGCTCGCGCGCTTTGGTCGTGCGCGGTTGGCGTGGCGGTGTGGCGTGGCCGACCGCGGGCTTGAGTTTCCCGGGTCGTGATGCGTGATCGGCCGAGTGGTTTTGGACTTTGGCCGAGACTTCAGTCGGACGGACGACTTTGGCCGAGCGCGGAACATTCGTTCCTCGGCCAGCCGGACTGCGCGGTTGGGCGCTGTTCTCTCGATAGAGCCGTCTGGACAGTCTCACTCTTTTGGTATAACTCCTTTTCTACTCATCCAAATGAGGCCATTCCAATTGCGTTGGAAAGTTAACTCAATCAGAGCACGCAGGGAACTGGTCTTGATGAAATCCATTGAGTAGATCTTTTTCTGGGCCCTCTTAAAGTTGGTGCTTGTGCATGGAGCTGCTTGAAGTGCAAATCCTATGGTTTTGCTCCAAAATGCATCATTTCACCTGTTTAGACTCTAGACACTATAAACACAGTAAAACTACCTTTTTAGATAGAAAACCTGCCAAAAACCATTAGAAAACAATGCTAAAACAGTATAAAAAGTGGGTAAATTAGAGGTATATCAGGTATATGCACGAACCAAAAGAATCACATGGAGCAGCGTTAAAACAGATATTAAGATACCTACAAGGAACTCTAGGGCTTGGTCTTATATTTCATCGAGCAAGCAAGGCAGAGCTGGTCGGATACAGCGACAGCAGCCATAACGTTGATGCAGATGATGGAAGAAGTACTACTGGTCATGTCTTTTACCTTAACGATTGCCCGATTACCTGGGGCTCTCAAAAGCAAGAAACCGTAGCATTATCCTCTTGTGAAGCTGAATTCATGGCCGCTACAGAAGCAGCTAAGCAGGCGATTTGGCTTCAAGAACTTCTTGGAGAAGTCATTGGAAAGCCATGTAAGAAAGTTACTATTCGGATTGATAATAAGTCCGCAATAGCTCTTACAAAGAATCCCGTGTTTCATGGACGAAGCAAACATATTCACCGAAGGTATCACTTTATAAGAGAATGTGTTGAGAACGAAAAGGTGGAGGTCGAGCATGTTGCTGGAAGTGTTCAAAGGGCTGACATTTTAACCAAAGTCTTGGGAAGGATCAAGTTCAAAGAGATGAGGGATCTTATTGGAGTTAAAAATGTTTCAACAAAAGATTTCAAGCTTAAAGGGGAGAATGTTGACTTAAGCTTGAGTCATAAGGTTTTTGAGATTAGGAAAAGAATCATATTTAGGAGTTATCTAAATATGTAAGTTATCCTTTTGTGAAAAGGAAATAGTTTGTAGTTCTCTCTATATAAGAAGATGCCAAGGTGTGGCATAACTTGTGAGTTTGAGAGAAAGAGATTGAGAGCTTAAGTTTTGAGTTATTTTCTTAAGCAATAAAGAGAGTTATACTTTATCAATCTTGTGTTCTTAAGTTTATTGGATTCTATAGAATCTGGGTCCAACAATTGTCCCCAGCCCTTTTAAGTGAGTTTCGAACTTAAAACGGGCGGTTTGATTTTGAATTTCAAAAATTCAAACCTTTGCTGAGCTAACTCGAATTCCTTGATTCGAGGTATATTCGAGCTTGGTTTGAATGGGGTAAAAGATCGTGGGGATCTCGTCGTTGGGAACCGCTTGGAGAATTAATTTTTTATTTTTTTTACTTCGTGGCGAAGGTAAGATCTGGCCGTTGAACGGCCGAGATTACGAGCAAATCTTATAAACTCACTGTAATCTCGCGAACCGAGCTCCTCGAGAACATATATTGCGTGTTACCAAGATTCGAAATGATTACGTTTTTTCTATGCGGATCACCTTCCTAGTCAGGATGGTGAACTTGGAATCAGACTGTTCAAAGCCAGACTTCATCGCCGCAGACAACTTACCGAAGCCATCTTCAAACAGAACCTTCATCTTCTCCTCAAAGCGACTGAAGCCATCTTCAGCAGAGGATACGCTCTCAGGACACTGCCTCTTCTACATTTCATCTCCAGGGGCAGAGGCTCTTTTCCTCTTCGCAGACTCCGGGGGTATAGGACTCTTCACCAGAACACCTTGAGGATTCCAGTCCGCCGGCTTCCACCTCCACCGGCCCAGGTCTCCATACTTGTAGAGCCTCAACAAACCCATCCAGGACATACCCGGACTTCCATAGCTCTGCTTCTTTGACGGCTTCGATCAGGTTCTTGAAAGCTACACGCCCCCACGGATAATTCTCAAACTCCTCTTCATCCATCACTAATCTGGCCAGGTTGACAGGAGTGTGCGAGGTGTTTTTCCGAGCAGCAATGAAGCCAGTGTAGATGGCCAAGTAACCAAGCCTAAGTTTGTCCTCACTCGGCCAGTCTGTTGCCCATTCGCATGCACGAATGATCTCCACTTGACTCGGACCAAGCTCAACATCTACTCCGAGCTTCTCCCAGAATGCTCTCATCTCTAGAGTAACCTTGCATTGGGGTCATCAATATCTTCCACATAGTCGCAGTTGAGGCCGGTGAGATGCTCAAACTCATGGAGGGAAAATCTAATTGGCTATCCGCAACCGCAACCCAGATCTCATACTTCTTCTTGCACTCTAACTGATATGAGAGCATCGTGTGGACCAACTTCGAAGACCACGCGAAGTCGAGGTCGTGAAACTTGCAGAAGACACCAACTCGCGAGTCGCATAGTGTTTCCCACTCGGCATCACTCAGTAGTTTTTTCACGGCAGCAAATAGCTTTTTGTCGTTGCTGCCGTAGGAGATGCTCTTTTGGGCTTCCGGTTCAGCCCCTCTTGTGTATAACCTCCTTGGAAAGGTAGGCTTCTTCATTCTGCAACGAACATAAAAGGAAAATCAAAGAAGGCAAAAACGAAGGCAAAAACGAAGGCCTACTACGAAGGTCTACTACGAAGGTCTACTACGAAGGTCTACTCTAAACCCTAAACGAAATCTACCGAATCACGAAGAAGAAAGACATATATGAGTTGTAGAGGTTATGTTATAGATTGTTGTACCTCTCGACGACGACGACAGTTCTAAGCGCTTATCGCAAAGCACCAGGAACGATATCTTGGACGAGATCTAACTACAAAAACGACACATGAATTCGGCGGTGCGAGGTTACTACCGGGAAATGGGATCGATGTGGAGCGCTCCGATTCTGTTAGACAACGGCGACGAGTTCACCAGACGGCGGACCAAATATGAACAATAAAACGGTTAGATGACTGAGCGGAGATAGATTAACGACACTAGGGGTATAGGGCGAGGTATAGGGCGGAGATATTACCGGCGTAATCAAACAGAGGCGGAGCAAACGGCGTCGGAAACGGAATAGCGGGTCGGAAAAGGAATAGCGGCGGAGCAAACGGCGTCGGACACGGAAATCGCCTGAAATCGCCTCTGGAGAGCGCCGACTCGCAATGTTCTAACAAAACCTAGAAATTAACTGCTCAGGGTTAAAACCGCTTTATATACGTCGGTTCGATTAACTGGTTTCGTTATATCGGTTTGAACCAAGAAATTAGCCGGTTATTTCAATTAATATCGGTTCAGCCGTTCAATTTACGGTTCTACGCAAACAATTGAGTCGGTTATTTCCGGCTTAGGTATACCGTTACGGTCTACCACGAAATTACCGAAACGTCGTTTCAATCTCAGCCGTCGCTTTGAAACTTCGGGATTCCCGCTAGGTTAAAACGGTTGGTAGACCTCCACTTCGGTCTACGCGATCCGTCTACTTGTTAGGTCTACTTTACCCTAAACCCTAAATCGAATAATTTATATACAATTTTGCAACGATTTGCTTGCCATATTGTCAATTTACAGTGTATATCACAAATAAACAAACATTGAATCGTAAAACCAACCAAAAACAATTCTTCATCTAAAATTTTTCAAAACCCTACAACTCTCCCCATTAACTCCTAAACAATCTACTCAAACTCTTATCCTTATGAACTATTTACATATGATATTTATAGATTCATGATTTCTTATGAAATTTAATTTTTAATAGATGTGAAATGTCTATTATTTCGTTATTTATGAAACAAATATTTCAAATTATTTTTTACAATTTTCTTAATTTAAATTTAAGATTTAATTATTTAGTAGACTTACTTGGTAGACCTCTCATGGTTTTTATAGGCTTTTAACCTAATTTTTGTTTTTTATAGTTCAATTGGTTCAAATCTATGAAATTATATTTTATATAGATGCAAGTTGTCTGTATTGTATTTATGTATAAATAATTTTCATCAAAATATTTTTTTTTCAATTTTTATAATTAAAATTAAATTTTAATGACATAGTAGACTTACTCGGTAGACCTCACACAATTTTATAGATATTAACCTATATGTCTTTGCTTATCTATAAATCATTCATTTGTATGCATTCATATTTTTTGTATATGATAATGTCTATATTAGAATTATTCATACTTGTGTTTGTATAAAAATATTTTTTATTTAATTGTTAATTAAAATTTAAGATGTTATTACGAGGTAGACCTCTAACATTGTCTACCAGGTAGATCTACTTAGTAGATCTACATGCTCCGGAGGTTATAATCGTAATCGAGGCATGCGTTTTTTTGTTTGGTCATGAGGGCTTGTGGGGTAATTTTACTACCCAAAGAGGTTAGTTTTGCATTTGATTCAAATTGTGGTCTAGTTGACTAGAAAAAATCAAATTGTGGTCTAGAATTGGTAATTTGCACTTCTTTGTTCTTAGTTTTTCATTCATCCTTTTGCATAGAAAAACAAAAAAATCATAAAATTTTCAAAAAATCCAAAAATATTTTCATCTTTTTGCATTCATATTTGTTAGACTTGTTTAGGATTGCATCTTTCACTTGCATTGTTGATTTGACTTTGAAAACTTGTCCATCTTTGCGATTTCTTGAGTGCCCTGTTTTTAGATTCTTTTGTGCATTAGGGTGAGATTGATTGAGCAGCAAGAACCATGTTTATCTTGATCATATCACTGCATGCACATCTCATTCAACCATTGCTGTGATTTGATGCATTTCCCTATCTATTTGAACCATAACTTGATCTTTAATTACCAATGCTTGCATTTGATTTCAACTCATGGCTACCACATACATATCTGGACATTCTTTACCTATTTTCATATCCCTTTGCTTGTCCAGATAGCTGATCTCTATCTTTGAGACAGTTACCACACCTTAAACCTAAGCCTTTTCATTTCAAACCCCATATTATCTCTTGTGCGATTGTGAGAACCTTTCTTGGCTTTGCTTAGCATAAGGTGTTGTGTTTAAACCGGCAGGGGCAGTAGTTCTAGTTGTCTAGTTCTCTTGGGATTGTTTTCAGGCTAAGTTTGGGGGTGCCAACTCGAGCTCGATCGAGTTGGGTGTAAAAACCAGAAAAGTGGTAAAAGTTGGGAAAAACCAAAGGAAAAAGAGTTTAGTTAAGTCCAGGGAGTTGGCAGTGTTAAAAAGGGTCTAGTAAAGGTTTGGGAAGTTAAAAAAGGAAGTAAAAAGGGTTCTAAGTAGAATGAAAAGAAGGCAAAGCCTCAAGTGTCAAAAAGGAAAGAAAAGTTCCCTAAGTGTTTAGAAAATCCCAAACCGCTAGATGTTACCTCAAGAAGCCTCTCCCTAGGAAGTTCTTAAAAGAAAAGTGAGCAAAGCTCCTCAGTTTCAAAGGCGAAATGCCAAAAAGGGTAGTTAGGATTTTGTTCTAAAAAGCTCTAAGTGTTGAACTCGATCGAGTTAGGATTAGGCGGCTCGAGCTGCTGTTCTTGCATCATCTTTGGTTCTAACACTTAGCCTTCTGCCAAAGCAAAGCCACTTTCTTGAGAGATCCCTGTTACTAAACCACCATACAAAAGAGACCCTCTTTGTCTCTTAACCCATAAACCCTTGAAACCAAATGAGTTGATTGATCTTGCATGTTTTTGGTTCACTGTTTTTGCTTAATGAATGTTAAAGGGATTTGCTGATTTGAATGCATTGTTTGAGTGACTGTGAAGTGGGATTGATGTTGATAAGCATGGTTAAATCTTAATGAATATCTCTCACCTTGTTGCATTCTAGAATCTCTAAGTTGGACATTTAGCAAATCGCTTTTGAGGACATGTTTTTAAGTGTTGAATCAACTTGTTTTCAAACCTCATCTCTTTCTTGTTCTATTTGTTTGCTTGAGGGCAAGCAAAGTTCAAGTTTGGGGGTGTTGATGTACTTGCATTTTACATAGTTTTAGTACATCTTTTATGCATCTTTTGCATAGTTTTAGCATCCATTTGCATCATATCTTGTTCCTTTTCTCTTCTTATGCATTCATGTAGTTTTAGGTTGCATTTGCATACATATGCATGTTTGGTCCTTTGAAATAGGTCTTTTGGAGCATTCTGGAGCATATGGGACGTGAGGAGCATGGAGGGACTTGGTGCATGGACGCAGCTCAACTGGATACGCAAAGGAAGAAGGAGAAGCCATCTTGAAGACCAGCTCGACCACTACTCGACCAACCGGTCGAGTTCCTCAACTCGACCGGCCAAGCTTCAACTCGATCGAGCTGAGAAGTCAAAGTCAAACCCGAAAAATGTTGCTTCCCCCTTGACTTTCCTTTGACCCTAAACCTAATCCTCTTGTATTTAAAGGCTAAAAGCCACGAAAAAACCACCAAGCTTTAGATTACTTTTGTTTTAGCTTTCTTTAATTTATTGTCTTTTACTTTTTAGAGCTCTAATCCCATCTTTGTGTTCTTGAAGCTCTTGCTTCTTGAATCCTAGATCCTGGATAATCTTCTTGTATTTGCACTTGCTTATTTCAATAAAAGTTGTTTATTTCATCTCCTCTTTCTTATGATGTCTCTTCATTGCATTTGCTTGTGTTTACATTCATGTGTAGTGAGTAGTTACCCATTAGGGTTTGAGATGGGATAGATTAGAGGTTTCATATGCTTAATCCTTCTTGCTTATGGTCTTAATCTAGATTCTCTCTCTTTTGGATAGATCTTAAGGCTACATGACCACTACCCCTGGCTTGTAAGTCCTTAGGCGATTCTCCACACGGAAGTGATGGCAAATCGCTGGAAAAGATCCACTAAGAGCTCCAATATCTCTTGCTCTAGAAATGAGGTCTAAGGGGTTGGATGGATTAGTTTGGGCAATGATCCTATGGCCTCCAAGGTTTGATTCTCACTGGCTAACCCCCTGTTTCTGAGATCATTCCTTGGTTGATAGCCTCACCTTGGGAAAGGGTTGCTAGGCATTGAGAAGCCCAATATCAAGAGAAGCCTTGATACAAGGAGTTTTAAGAGCTAGATTGATTAAGTGTAGATTCCTGATTGCAAAACCCTGTCTTGAACCCTAATTCTCTCTTAGCTTGTTAAAGTCGCTCCTTTATTGCTTTTTACTTCAACTCGACCCTAAACTCGATCGAGCTGGTACTCTGTTCCACTCGACTCGAGTCCTTGGTCGAGCTGTTGCTCTTCTGCTTTTTTACTTTTATGCATTGCATTTCATTTTATTTAGGTTGTTAGTGTTACCCCAATCATTTACTGCTTGCTTGACTTCCTGGTTGTTTCATATTCTCATAGAGTGACAAGTTCCCCATTTTGGATTGATAACCCTTTACTATAATGACTATCATGGTTAAAGGGAATTGTTGACTGTGTTTGTGTTTGCATCTTACCACCTCATCATATACCACTGTTGCATTCCACCACATCTCATTTCATATCTTTCACATCCACACACAAATCCTATCATCACCAACCCTGAACTCACTACAGTCATCAAGGGTGAGAACATTGACTTTCGCCCCCTTTTACACGTTAGTTGGGCATGAGGATGATTTGCGAGAAGAGGAGCCTGAACTCGATCGAGCTGAGGATCGAGCTGAGGCTCGAGCTGAGGACGAGCCCAAGTGGATGAGGATTTGGACGAGTGATATTACTTTGAGGAGTATGAAGGCTCCAAGGATGAACCCCTCTGTTGTGGCTGTCACAAGAGGATTGGACTTCTCCAAAAGTTCAACAAGTGGCAAGGGAAAGCCATTGAGAAAATGCAAAAGTCCATGGACAAGATGGTGAGCAAGATTAAGAGTTTGGAGAAGAAGGTCTCTGGTTCTTCATCCAAGAAGAAGAAGACACCCATGACCTACTTTCCCTAGGAGTAGATCCCTCCTCACCACTCCAAGGAGACTCCCTGCCCAAGAGCCTCACAGGGCCTCATCATTTGAGCCAAGGGAAGAAGGAGACAACACGCAGAGGAATAGGAAGAGTTCCAAGCCCGACGCTCCAACTCGACCACCGGACTCGATCGAGTCCAAACAGAGGAAACTCAACTCGATCGAGCTGATGGTCGAGTTGACCTGGAGGAGCCAGTTTCGAGAACCCTGGATTTGAGTACGATCCAGCCCTTACCAGGACTTCCCCAGAGCCATGGAACCCCTACAACAGTTCGAGCAGCCAGCTCCACCAAGGCCAAGGAGCCACACACACTTCAAGATGAAGAAGAGGATCGATCGAGTCGAATGGAGTGCTCCTGATGGCCGTCTCCCTCTCCAGACCACGACCTTGCCTCCCAGTTCTTTGGGGGGCACTGAGGTATCCAAACACCAACCCTTGTAATACCATTTCATATTTTCTTGCATTTGTTTTTTTTTCTTGGTTTTGCCCTCTTGAATCTTTCACTACACACAAGGGACTGTGTGATTTAAGTTTGGGGGAGGGTTCAAGAGATGATTTAACCTTGTTTTCTTTGTTCTTAGTTTTTCATTTATTTGCATAGAAAAACCAAAAAAATCATAAAATTTTCAAAAAATCCAAAAATATTTTCATCTTTTTGCATTCATATTTGTTAGACTTGTTTAGGATTGCATTTTTCACTTGCATTGTTGATTTGACTTTGAAAACTTGTTCATCATTTGCGATTTCTTGAGTGCCCTGTTTTTAGATTCTTTTGTGCATTAGGGTGAGATTGATTGAGCAGCAAGAACCATGTTTATCTTGATCATATCACTGCATGCACATCTCATTCAACCATTGCTGTGATTTGATGCATTTCCCTATCTATTTGAACCATAACTTGATCTTTAATTACCAATGCTTGCATTTGATTTCAACTCATGGCTACCACATACATATCTGGACATTCTTTACCTATTTTCATATCCCTCTTGCTTGTCCAGATAGCTGATCTCCATCTTTGAGACAGTTACCACACCTTAAACCTAAGCCTTTTCATTTCAAACCCCATATTATCTCTTGTGCGAATGTGAGAACCTTTCTTGGCTTTGCTTAGCATAAGGTGTTGTGTTTAAACCGGCAGGGGCAGTAGTTCTAGTTGTCTAGTTCTCTTGGGATTGTTTTCAGGCTAAGTTTGGGGGTGCCAACTCGAGCTCGATCGAGTTGGGTGTCAAAAACCAGAAAAGTGGTAAAAGTTGGGAAAATCCAAAGGAAAAAGAGTTTAGTTAAGTCCAGGGAGTTGGCAGTGTTAAAAAGGGTCTAGTAAAGGTTTGGGAAGTTAAAAAAGAAAGTAAAAAGGGTTCTAAGTAGAAAGAAAAGAAGGCAAAGCCTCAAGTGTCAAAAAGAAAGAAAAGTTCCCTAAGTGTTTAGAAAATCCCAAACCGCTAGATGTTACCTCAAGAAGCCTCTCCCTAGGAAGTTCTTAAAAGAAAAGTGAGCAAAGCTCCTCAGTTTCAAAGGCGAAATGCCAAAAAGGGTAGTTAGGATTTTGTTCTAAAAAGCTCTAAGTGTTGAACTCGATCGAGTTAGGATTAGGCGGCTCGAGCTGCTGTTCTTGCATCATCTTTGGTTCTAACACTTAGCCTTCTGCCAAAGCAAAGCCACTTTCTTGAGAGATCCCTGTTACTAAACCACCATACAAAAGAGACCCTCTTTGTCTCTTAACCCATAAACCCTTGAAACCAAATGAGTTGATTGATCTTGCATGTTTTTGGTTCACTGTTTTTGCTTAATGAATGTTAAAGGGATTTGCTGATTTGAATGCATTGTTTGAGTGACTGTGAAGTGGGATTGATGTTGATAAGCATGGTTAAATCTTAATGAATATCTCTCACCTTGTTGCATTCTAGAATCTCTAAGTTGGACATTTAGCAAATCGCTTTTGAGGACATGTTTTTAAGTGTTGAATCAACTTGTTTTCAAACCTCATCTCTTTCTTGTTCTATTTGTTTGCTTGAGGGCAAGCAAAGGTCAAGTTTGGGGGTGTTGATGTACTTGCATTTTACATAGTTTTAGTACATCTTTTATGCATCTTTTGCATAGTTTTAGCATCCATTAGCATCATATCTTGTTCCTTTTCTCTTCTTATGCATTCATAGTAGTTTTAGGTTGCATTTGCATACATATGCATGTTTGGTCCTTTGAAATAGGTCTTTTGGAGCATTTGGAGCATATGGGACGTGAGGAGCAAGGAAGGACTTGGTGCATGGACGCAGCTCGACCATCCGGTCGAGTTCCTCAACTCGACCGGCCAAGCTTCAACTCGATCGAGCTGAGAAGTCAAAGTCAAACCCGAAAAATGTTGCTTCCCCCTTGACTTCCCTTTGACCCTAAACCTAATCCTCTTGTATTTAAAGGCTCTAAGCCACGAAAAAACCACCAAGCTTTAGATTATTTTTGTTTTAGCTTTCTTTAATTTTGTCTTTTACTTTTTAGAACTCTAATCCTCATCTTTGTGTTCTTGAAGCTCTTGCTTCTTGAATCCTAGATCTGGATTATCTTCTTTGTATTTGCACTTGCTTATTTCAATAAAAGTTGTTTATTTCATCTCCTCTTTCTTATGATGTCTCTTTTATTGCATTTGCTTGTGTTTACATTCATGTGTAGTGAGTAGTTACCCATTAGGGTTTGAGATGGGATAGATTAGAGGTTTCATATGCTTAATCCTTCTTGCTTATGGTCTTAATCTAGAAATCTCTCTCTTTTGGACAAACTTAAGGCTACATGACCACTACCCCTGGCTTGTATGTCATAGGCGATTCTCCACATGGAAGTGATGGAAATCGCTGGAAAAGGTCCACTAAGAGCTCCAATATCTCTTGCTCTCGAAATGGAGTTCATAGGGGTTGGATGGATTAGTTTGAGCAATGATCCTATGCCTCCAAGGCTTGATTCTCACTGGCTAACCCCCTGTTTCTGAGATCATTCCTTGGTTGATAGCTTTCACCTTGGGAAAGGGTTAGCTAGGCATTGAGAAGCTCAATATCAAGAGATACCTTGATACAAGTTGTTTAAGAGCAAGATTGATTAAGTATAGTCTTCCCTGATTGTAAGACCCTGTCTTAGACCCTAATTTCGCATTAGCTTGTTAAAGTTCCTGCCTTTATCGCTTTTTACGCTAACTCGACCCTCAACTCGATCGAGCTTGGTTACTCTGTTCCCACTCGACTCGAGTCCTTGGTCGAGCTGCTTGCTTTACTGCTTTCTTTACTTTATTGCATTGCATTTCATTTCTTTAGGTTGTTAGTGTTACATCCCTCTTTTATCTTTGCTTGACTTTCTTGTATTTGCATATTCTCAAAGAGTCATTTCACCCTTTTGGATTGATAACCCTTATAATAAGGGGAATTGATTGATTGTGATTGTGTTTGCACCATACCATCTCATCTTCATATACCACTGTTGCATTCCACCTCATATTACATTTCATATTCACATCACACACGTAAAATCCTATCATCAGGGTGCTGAAAACCGCACTCGAAATTTATAGGTTTTGCAAGGAAGAAACTTAGGGAGATTTAGAGCTAGATTTTGATGTAAGTGAATGAATCGTAAGCAAGGATTTGGCTAAACGGATTTGTATTAATCGAATGAAAACAGTTACAATGAATTCTCAGAAGAGAGAAAGAACTAATCTCAAAGGAAAAATACAAGATGAAAGTGATAGTAATTAGGTCTGAAATGATCAGGAAGCAGGTTCCCTTGATCCGACTGACTTCCAGCTTTTTTTATAGCTCCACAAGCAGCTACGATCCACCTCCGCGTATCTCGTCACGTGCAGCTAACGATCCCGGTGATCTCGGACCAGACCGGATTTGAATAAGATCTTGTTTGACTTCGTCTTTCTTTGCTGTGGTGACCTAGTCCTTGATCGAGCTGGAGCTCGTCTTTACGTCGACCGGGATAGCTCGGTTGGTAGTTAGCTGGGCTACGATGGAGTTGTTTGGTGGGCTCGAGGTCTTCTTACTGAGTTTGAATGGGCCTGGACTTTAATCTTAAATCAAGGTAATGGGCCCTTATAGGTTGGATTTGAGGTGTGGAATCTGGGTCCAATAGATTTATATAATTTGATGATAATATAAATTTGTTTATATTTTGAATTAAAAATAAAAATATGAAATCTAAAGACCCACTATCTAATCTGGGATAAGTTCATATGAGATATATCATACAAAAAAATAAAATTTATAAACTTGACTATATTTATGGATTTATAATCCAACAAGAACAATATCATCATACATCCATGTCGTGTCGAGATATAAAAACTTATTGAAGAAACCAGACATGTTGAAAACAAAAGTATATGTCAACAAAACTTATTTATGACAGATTTGCCCTGACACGTGTGAATTTTCTTCCTTTTTCTTTTTCTTGTAAACAGAAATATGAATCAGAAAAATAAAATAAAAACAATCTCAAGGCTTGGTTGGCTCATTAACCTCATCAGCTTCAGCATCTTCAATCTCACTCGCTAACTTCACCAAATCTTCAACAAGAATTTTCCCATCTAAACCAAAAAAAAACATTCCATTAGACGAAAAACAAGTTAAGAAGTTAAGGAATGGAAGAAGAAGAATATAGAGTTGTGTGTGACCTTTATCTTTAGAAAGGTTCTGAATAAGCTCTTGAATACCCTCTTTCCCTAATGTATCCTTAAGATACATCGCAGCCGATGCAACTTCATCTGGACTCACCTTCCCATCATAATCTCTGCACAACAAACAAAAACTCCTATTAAATTATCAACACTCATCGAATTTCGAATGACCAAAACGGATTATATAATTACAGACCTATCAAGAAGACGCCAACGGTTACCAATCTTGTTATCGACATCATCAATTTCCTTTTCGAGTTTCTGGAGCATTGTCTCAACCTAAAAAGTAGAAAGATATAGAGAGATTAAGAAAAAAAACTCTCCATAGCCCGAATAAAATGAGTTTTTGTTGTTTTATTTACCCTATCTAATAGCGCAGAAGAAGTTTTATCAGCGATTGCTTTCTGAGCACTTCGGTCACTATCTTCTCTAGCAGCTAAATAAGCTTTCCTAGCTTCTTCTTCATCGTCTGTACCACCTTTCTCTACCATGCTGTTGTATAAATCAACCTGTAGATACAATTTTACTCAGAACAAATCCAAAAAAGCAAAGATAGAACCTCGTTTTTTACCTCCTTTTTGACTAGTTTCAGGAACTCTTCACGCTCCATGCTCACAGACTGTAATTGAAGTCAAAAGAAGCCACAAGCATTAGTTTGCTAATTCTGAAAACTCTGATGGTAAAATAAGTGAGAGTGTGGTTTTAAGTCTGCATACAGATGCGGAAGCTAAAACTGCTAATGCACGGCTTAGCTCACAGAGCTGCTCATGTTTCTCGAGAGTTTTCGCATTCGCTTGTTCGTTAGTATCTTTAGCTGTAGAAGCTAGCATCTCATCCAAAGCAACATCTTTTTGGCTCGAAGCAGCGGACTCTTTCAACTTCGCCATTTCCTCCTCTTCTTCTTCTTCCTCCTCCTACATTCAATTGAACCGAAAGTAGTAAGAAAACAGATTCTTGAAACATCTCAGCGAAGTTGCTGCATGGAAAAGGGGAAATTTGCAGAAACCTTGATTAATTCTTCTTGCATTTCTAGGTATTCAAGTTTCCTCTTCCTTTCTGATACAGAATCTTCTGATGCCAGAGCTGTGACCCCGACTGTGTCAACAACTTCATCAGGAAGAGAGGAGAGTGTAGCTTGAACAGCCTCTTCTGGCTTGAGTTTCCCAGCCATTGAGAAAGATCTGTCAATTCGCAAAAGAGGACAAATGGGGCAATGTCATTTTCATTTTTATCTGTATGATATTGTACATATGTCTACTGAGGCTTACCTAGAGAGGATTAAGAGTGATGATGGTACTGAGTGGTTGAGGGATAAATCAAGCCAGTCAACTAACTGCAACGAGTATTTTTTTCAGATCAGCAATCAATTTACACCACATAAACCTAATACAAGATCACTCTTTTTGTTCACGAAGAGTATAACATGAATGATGATTATGAAAGAGCAATAACCTGCTGTCTCATTTCTTCAACTGAACCTAGTTGAAGCATTCCTCTGTATCTACAAGCTTGGCGAAGTTCAGCTTCTGAGAGAGACTCCACACCTTCGGCCTTGATCAACTTATCATCTTTTTTAATCCTACAAAATCCACACAAATCTTACGATGGCACCAAATACAGAGAAAATATTGTGGGGCTTATTGGCAGAGACATTTGAGACATTATGGGGAGTGTTAAAACTTACTCCTGTAATCTTTTCCGTAGCATATAACGTAAATATGCATCAGTTCCGAATGGGCTAATACCCATGTATTTGCACATATTTACCAATCGAGACCTGCGTTTAGGGAGATAATGTATAAACAAAATAAGCCAAGACAGAAGCAGTACCGTAATATATAAAGTTTTGACTAATGTTGTAACCTGTTAATGTTATCCAATGTAAGCTCATCATTGAATAGTTTTGCAAAGCCCAAAATTTCGTCATTTGAAACCCCGACTCCTCTTCTTACCTGTACAATTGATAACAAAGCTATCAATCCATCTTGCAGAAGAAAAAAGAAGTAAGTCAATTGAGCAAAATAACAAGCAAAACCGAACCTTGTTCATAAATCCGTCTAGATCTTCTGCTGTCTTTTTTATCTCTCCACTGCGTGACGTCTGGACTTCCTTTGCCATTTCTTTAACAGTATCTTGGAGAAACTTTGCATACTCCATTCTTGCGTTCAACCTCCTTTTTAGTGCCTCCTTCAAAATAAACGTTCCAAGAATTTCAGCTTCATACTTGAGAAACAGGCAAGCGTGACAGTGAGAGGAAAAAATATCAAACCAATTCATACTTCCCAGATCAGTGTAACTTAATTAATAATTTGTGTTTATTTTAGCCATTAAGAGTATCATGTGAGTTGACAAAACAAATGTATAAGAATCTGAGACTTATTTGCTCTGCTCTTCCCAAATTTGTACACTAGTAAGCTGGAAAGATTCACTGTCTAAATCGGTGCCAAAGAAAACTAATTCCAGCATCCAAATGTAAGCCGTTGTATAAACATTTCTATTTCTTCAAGAGAAAAATAGATCTACATCAAATCTTAGCTATGGCTATTGCTATGTTCAGGATAATTTCAGACACTAATTACTGTGAGATCAGCCCTACATTAAATTTCATATCCAATCTTTTACTACCACACAAAAGGGGAAACGAACGAAGCAATTGAATATTCTCAGCACTGCTTTGCTAGAAGCTGGGAACAATGGTAAAATCAATGCATGGGAAGAAACGTATGACTCCTGGCAATCCTAGGCCAGTCTGGAAAGAAGTAACTGACAAAACTAAAAACATCTCAAGACCTACTTGTTTTGACAACTGAATCTCCAAGAACAGTAAACAAAAGCAATAAAATAGGATTTAACAATACCTCTTCTTTCATCTTATCCTGGAAAGTTGACGGCAGCATGTTTGGAAACAGCTTAAGAAACACCGGTAGCAAAAACTCCATGAATGGGACAATAATGAAAACTGCGACCGGGACTAATCTAAAAATGTCGGCAGTTGTTCGAGTGAGTTGTTGCCGCTCCCTCCTAGAGAGACCCTTTCCATTAGCAAGTTTAACAAGCAGCCTCACACTAATCCTTACATCAGCCCAAAGCAACTTAGTCCCCAGCCAATAGTGTTGCAGTGTAGATTTAAATTCATCTTTCCAGTGACGAAGCTTCTTAGCCCAATCTTCCCTGCAGTCATAGATCATATATCAAACAACAGCAAATCGAACCAAATCTCTCGGAAAGCTATAACAAGAAACAAGTATCCTCACCTGCTCATCGATGCAATAGCTCTCAAAGCAGGACCTATTCCCAGAAGAAACGACCGTACACGTTCCATAATGGAAATATCAGATTTTTGTGACTCTTCCAGTTTCATCGCTTTAGCTTTGGCTTTAGCCAAACTTAACCCCTCAACTGCTTCATCACACTCCTCAGGAGAAGCTTCTTTGGTTTGTGAAGTAACCTTTTTATCGTCGTCGTCTCCATTATCAGGTTTGCTAGCCGTTGCCAAAGTAGAGCACATAGATTGTCGAACCACTCTATACCCCAAGGGATAAGGGAACTCTAATCTTCCAACTCCATTTCTAAAATTCGGAGACTGAAGTAATCTACTCGAGGGGGTCGAATCTTGATTCTTGAGAAAAGAAAGCAAATTCCCATCTTGGAAATCAGGTTTCTTCCCAGATACATATCCTGAATCAGAAGAATTCGTCCCCTTCCATTGCCGCTCAACGCTTGGAAGACAATGTATTGTATGAACATGTTCACTTAGAGATTGGACGAGGTACTTCCTCCTTCTCAGAAGCGCTCTTGAAGCCATTTGCAGTAACGTTTAAGCTCTATACAGTATAAAAAAAACCAGCTACATACCAACAAAGCCGAATCCTATACCGGTTTCTGCAAATTGATTGTACACAAGATTATGTCATTACTAAATCCAACCAAATTCCTTACTCAGTTACTCCTAAATAGGAAAAAACCGCAAGAATCAACGATTGTAAAGACTGATAGATCATCATTCACAAAAGCCACAGAATGAATAATCCAGATTTTTCATCACAAAGAGAGATAAACACCGATATGTGGAGAGATCCTCTTCGCATTTCATGAATATTACTAAGAATCTGAAACAACAATCCTTAAAAACGAAAATTCATCATAAAATTTGATTGCGAAATCCAGAAACTCATATGGATTGTATCGTAATAGAGAACAATCACAAAGCTGAATCCAGAATAAAATGGAGAAACATCATTAAATGTGGAGATATTTTCTTCGCACTCGATTTCACTGGTTAAAGCATTTCGTAAACCCAGTAGAATCGGAAATGGATTTTTTAAAAACGAAAATTCAGCATGAAATTGATCGCGGCGAAAGTAAGATGATACCGGAAAAGACTAGAAACTCATCGGGATGATGATATGGAGACGATAACTTGCGACTTACATCTACAGAGAGGAAGGAGGAGAGAAGATCGATCAAGCGTGAAAGAAGAAATCGGAAAAAGTTGGAGAAAAGAGCGTCAAACTAATCGTCGTCACTGCGCTCGAGAAGAAGGATTCAACGTGTTTCTGCTGATTTTGACCGTTTTGTTTTGGTTCGGGTCGGGTCCGAAAATACATAGACATCCCTCGGGCCGGCTACCTATTTCCCCACCACGAAGTTTTAGTCGTACTATATGCGGCCCAATGTATGACCACGTATTATTTCCCCATCATTTGAAACTTAAACATCTATTTCCCCATCGATATAACTTCAAATGCGCGTTTCTCCACAAGTCCAAAGTCAAATACACAGATCCACATCGAGTTTGAATTAAGTTGGTTTAATGGTCGGGAAACACGGTTTACTATTCCCGAATCTCTTCTTAACCAAACTAAACCTCTTTGAACCCGATTTAGACCCAATTACAACTAATAAACCATTTCATCCCGAAAATCCCCAATTTCAGAAATCGCGAACCCTAGAAATTGAAATCGAGAGAGTGAGAGAGAAATCAACTCGAGATTTGTCTTGTAGATTGAAATCGGGGTTTGTCATGGCTCAACCTCGTAGAAATCGTGCGCGGGGGTTCGATTTCGACGAAGAAGAAGCAGAACGAGAAGAGCATCAGCTCGACCAACTCTTGCAAGAGTTCGAGAACGAGCCGGCGGTTGTCCACGACCAGGTGCCGAAGACCGATGACAAAGTAGAGGAAGATGGTCGAGAGTTAATGCAGACGCATATAACTCGTGGTGATGGGCATTTATACGATAATCAGACCTTCTTCAATGGAGTTGCTTTCAAGGATCGAGTTCTCCACTATGCTCTTCGAACCAGGTACAATATCAGGCAGTATAGGTATGATAAAGACAAGATTGGTTTCGATTGTCTGGGTGTAGATGGTAATGAAGAACCTTGTCATTGGCAAATATATGCTTCGATCCTTCCAAAAGATAAAATTTGGAGAGTTAGGAAGTTTATAGAGGAGCATACATGTGAGAGAAATGGAGTGTGTGAGATGGTGAAGGTCCCTGTGATAGCTAGGTTGTTTGTGAATGAAGATCGAACAGTTGGTGAAGGAGAATTGGGGAATTTTCGTGTCTAGACCTCAATGTCAAGCTGCTAGGAGGACAGCTTTGAGGTGGATTGACAGTGAGTATGAGTATCAGTTTGCACGTCTTAGGGATTACGCAGCAGAGATAGTAGAGTCTAATCCTGGCTCATCTGTGGAAGTGGAGTCATTCCAGAATGCTGCAGGTGAAGAAGTGTTCCACCGGTTCTATGTTTGCTTTGACGTGCTTCGGAAGACATGGAAAGATAGTTGTAGGCCATTGATAGGGCTTGATGGTTGCTTCTTGAAAGAGAGAGTGAAGGGGCAGTTGTTGGTTGCTTTAGGTAGAGATGCAGACAATGGTATCTATCCGATCGTATGGGGTGTTGTAGAGGTGGAGAATAATGATAATTGGCAATGGTTTGTGAAGAAGCTCAAGGTTGATTTAGGTCTTGAAGATGGTGATGGGTACATCGCTGTTTCAGACCTCCACCATGTAAGTTGCTTATGGTTTGTGTTGTATTTTACACTTGATTTTACTTTTTTTATGTATTTGTAACTGTATTTGCGGTTATGTTTCAGGGTTTAATCAGGGCTATCAAGATAGAGTTACCAAAGATGGAGCATCGAAAGTGTGTAAGACACATCTATGGCAATTTGAAGAAGAAACATGGGGGCAAAACAAGGATGAAGAGCTTTATCTGGAAACTAGCATGGAGCTACAATGAAGCAAAGTTTCAAGTCAACTTGGACAAAATTAGAAACTATGACACTGGTGTCTATGATGATGTTATGTCTACAAGTCCTAGGAGTTGGTGCAGAGCTTTCTACAAGCTTGGACCTTGCTGTGAAGATGTTGAAAACAACTCGACAGAGTCTTTCAACAGCTCCATCAACAAGGCAAGAGAGAAGCCCTTTATCCCTATGCTAGAAACCATAGCAAGACAAGCTATGGCACGGATAGCCGTGAGATCCCGAATCTCTCATGACCACAAAGGTAATATGTGAAATATCTTGCATACTTTTGTTATGTTGTTTCTAATAGGTAATCTTAACATATATGGCTTTAATTTTCAGGTAAGTGTACCCCATATGTGGAGAAGAAACTAGCTAAGATGCTTGTAGATAAGCCGCATAAACATGGAGCAAGAAAGTGTGTGGTGACTAAGAGTGTGAAAGGCTACTATGAGTCACGGCTTAATGGTCAATGCCATACAGTCAGCTTGGAGAATAGGACTTGCTCTTGCAGGAAGTGGGAGATAACGGGAATTCCATGCAAGCATGCTTATGGAGTGATGTTGAAGTATGGTCTTGATCCTCTGGACTACGTCTGTCATTGGTTCCGCTCAGGTATGTGGAGAAGAAACTACTCAGATGGACTCGTTCCAGTCAGAGGTTGTAGGTTCTGGCCAGAGACAAATGCTCCGGATGTGCATGTTCCTCCTGAGAAAGAAAAACCAGGGGAAGAAGCAGCTGAAGAAGGCCAAGAACCTGGAAACGAAACGAAGAAGAAGAAGAAGAGGCTCACAAAGGCAGAGAAGACAAGGAAAAAGGGTGTTAATGAGTCTCTAACAAAGAAGCAGCGGAAAGAGAAACAGAGGATTATGCATTGCGGAGTTTGTGGTGAGGCTAATCACAATTCAAGGCATCATGCGAAGGATAAGGATGCTCCAAGGGTTAGTAATCTTTAAGTTTGTCTCCTAAGTTTGTCTTGTTTTGTTTGTGTTGTGTGTGTTTTAATGCTACATTGTATTTGTTTTTTTTGTAGTTGATGTTGGAGGGTTCACAAAGCCAAGGTCAATCCTCCCAAACATTGGATTGAATGAAGTAGAGTAGTGGAAGAAGTATGGGTATTCTCGGATAAGTGGAAGAAGTATGGGCATTCGACTTTTGGTTTTTGTTTTGGATGTTTTATGATGATGCATTGATGCATTTGTGGTATTTTGGTTTTGGTTTTAGGATGTTTTATGATGATGTACTTTGGTATTTTGTGTTATGATGCACTTTGGTAATGATAATGATGCACTTTGTTAAGCTTTTGGTCATCTCAATGAATTTGGATTATAACAAAATTAGGTGCAATCATAAAGAAATCCAAAGCATTCATGATTGACAAAAGCATTCATAACAATCAAACCATTACAACATCACTAGTTTTAAACATTCTTACCATTACAAAAGCATTCATAACAATCAAACCAAAGATCACTACTTTAAAACATTCATACCATTACAAAGCATTCTTACTAAATCCAACTTTCTCCCAAGATCAACCTAATAGAGCTTACTAAACCCAACCATGACCACACACGAAATGACAACAACAATCACCATTTTCTTTGTCATGGATGATGATTCGGCCAATGCCTCTTCCACTCTCTCAAATAACTTCTTCTCAAACTCATTCATCCTCTCACTTGTAACCGCTTCCAGCTTCTCCTCAAGTCTTGCTGTTTTTGATTTCAGTGCTTCTATCTCATCTAAATGAGCTTCATCAACCCACTTGAATGTGTGATTATCATTGGCAAGCTTACATTCATCAACAAACTCAAAATCAACATTCGCTATACTAAGAAAACAAATAAAAAGGAGGGATTGTGATCGAATTACCTTTCTAGCTACAGCATATCCGCAACGAAAGTAGCGCCTATACGGATTGTTGTTTGATTTGAAATCAATTCCATCACTTGTTCTCCACAATGACAAGTTTTTGGAACACCAAACACTCTCCCTCTTGAACGAGCACTTGAAGATCCAGTCGAAGCTCCAGACAGGTTACTCATGTCTTTCGATCAACAAAAACCCAAAAACACAGAAGAATTTCAGAACAAAAAGAAGAAGAAATCGATAGTGAGAATATGAGAAAAAGAGTACCAAAATCGAAAATCTATAGTTTAGAACAATAAGGAGGCTAATGAAAGTGAAATGTTTAGACTGACCGTCAATTTGCGAAATCTCGGCTCAGAAAGATCGATTGGAGAATTGGATTCCGATTTCAGATTTTAGGGTTCTTTCGATTTGGGATAAATCGACCGTTGGGACGCGATTTCTGGGTTTTAAAAGTGAGTCACGGGTCGGGTTATCTGGGTCCGGTTTTGCGAAGAATCGGGTTTTAATTCGGTTTACAACGGGTTTGGTTCGTTGGTAGAGACATTTAACCAACACGATTGGACCTGTGGAGAAACGCGCATTTGAAGTTATATCGATGGGGAAATAGATGTTTAAGTTTCAAATGATGGGGAAATAATACGAGGTTATACATTGGGCCGCATATAGTACGACTGAAACTTCGTGGTGTGGAAATAGGTCGCCGGCCCACATCCCTCCGCCGGGTACGGATCTCTTCCGGAATGTTTTTTTTGTTTTGTGAATAAAGTGGTAGTCTTGTAGAACTTTTTTTTTTTTGAACAACATAGTCTTGTAGAACATACATATTTTTTTGGTCATCTCAGTGTAATATATTTTGGGTGAATTAATTAGGTGAGTAGCAATATTGGGGTTCAATATTAAGAATATAGCCATGCTATATGAAAAATAAAGTGAGTAGCCATGGAAAAAGTTTTTGGACAATTTTCGACGATTTTCTCCTTATCACCAAATGGAATAGCAAGAACTCTATACTATTTTGTTTTGTACTATTTTTTCAAAGCATCTGAATAAATATGATTGTTTTGCCCATTCTAATCCCATCATAATCAATTGTATTGAAAAGAGTTTGTGGGTGCTGAAAACCACACTCGAAATTTATAGGTTTTGCAAGGAAGAAACTTAGGGAGATTTAGGGCTAGATTTTGATGTAAGTCGAATAAATCGTAAACAAGGATTTGGCTAAATGGATATGTATTAGTCGAATGAAAACGGTTACGACAGATCTCAGAAGAGCGATATAACTAGTTTCAGAAGAACAATACAAGATGAATCAGAAAGAACAAAGTAGTTTCTAGTTCTGATTCAGGTGAAATGTGAAATAAAAGTCGTCCCTTGATCCGACTGACTTCCAGCTCCTTTTATAGCTCCAGAAACAGCTACGATCCACCTCCGCATATCTCGCCACGTGCAGCTAACGATCCCGGTGATTTCGGACCAGACCGGATTTGAATAAGATCTTCTTTAACTTCGTCTTTCTTTGTTGTGCCGACCTGGTCCTTGCTCGAGCTGGAGCTCGTCTTTAAGTCGACCGGAATAGCTTGGATGACAGCTAGCTAGGCTACGATGGAGTTGCTTGATGGGCTCGAGGTCTTCATACTGGGCTTGAGTGGGCCTGGACTTCAATCTTGGATCAAGGTAATGGACCCTTACGGGCTGGATTCCAGGTGTGGAATCTGGGTCCAACAATTGCCCTCCAGCCCTTTTTAGTGAGTTTCGAACTTAAAACGGGCGGTTTGATTTTGAATTTCAAAAATTCAAACCTTTGCTGAGCTAACTCGGATTCCTTGATTCGAGGTATATTCGAACTTATCTGCAATGGTTTGAGCGGGGTAAAAGATCGCGAGGATCTCGTCGTTGAGAACTGCTTTGAATATTCAATTTTACTTCGTAGTGAAAGTAAGATCTGGCCGTTGAATCGAGCTGAACGGCCGAGATTACGAGCAAATCTTGTCAACTCGCTGTAATCTCGCGAGCCGATTCGAAAACAGATATTATTATGTTTATGTTTTCGTCGAGAACAGATATTGCGTGTTACCAAGATTCGAAATGATTATGTTTTCGAATTGGACGGTCTAGATCGAGGAGGGTGAAGAGTCCGTGAGGCTGAGTTCTGTCTGGGACCCACAGCAAGTCACATCATCAGCCCGTCACATGCAAGCGGTTAAGATCTGTGAGCTGGACGGTCAAAATTCACGCGAAAATCGGATATTCTGCGATCTCTTCGGCAATTAATGCTGAATATAACCCCAACTCGCCACTCTTCTCTTTAACCACACCCAGGTTCTCGAAAAGGTAACTCCTCCTCTCTCTTTCACTTATTTATTTGCTTTTAAGTTTTAGATTAGATAACTTCCAAATTCTCGAAAGCTATCGAACCTCTGCAAAACTTTTCAGACGTTTTTAGGTTGTTTCGATTTAAAATTCCTCCAAAACCTTTGCATACCTCCATTTCCATCCAGCTCTTCTCCGATTCCAATGTCTCCAAAGAAAATCAAACAAGAGAAGGGGAAAGCCATTGTTTCTGGCGGCGACGGAAAGTTTACGCCGCATCCCGAAACGACGTTCGACGCCGAATCTCTCGACGAGTTCCGGCGCAATTATGGGATTCCCGATGAGATCGGGCTCGCTCTCCCGGCCGAGGGCGAAGATCCGGAGCATGTGCGTCAGGGGTTATGTTGCGCCTACAAGGCGTATTTCGAAAACTGCGGGATGATTTCCCAAATCCCGCATTTTCTATTAGAGGTGCTTGCCCATCTGAAGATGGCGTTCCCTCAGATGCACCCGAGTCTTGTCCGTCACACTATCGGGTGTGCCGTTTGAGCTCGAGAGAAGGGCGTAACGTTCGGCGTCGGTGAAGAATAACACGAGGTTGTCCGGATCATTCTATTCTTCTCCGAGGCCAAATCGGCGGATTTTCACCAACACCCCGCTGAGAGATAGCGGGTGGAGCGACGAGATGTTTTTCTTCCGGGTCAACGAGGCCTCGATGGGCGACTTTGACTTCAGCCGTCTTCCGACGGTGTGGGCGACTGATGTACTTGCATTTTGCATGGTTTTAGTACATCTTTTATGCATCTTTTGCATAGTTTTAGCATCCCTTAGCATCATATCTTGTTCCCTTTCTCTTCTTGTGCATTCATAGTAGTTTTAGGTTGCATTTGCATACACTCTCGTCGATCTCTTCACCTTATCCTTTTATGAGGTGGTCTATGGACATAGTAGGGCCTATGGTCTCTTCGGGACCAAAGCAATTCCAATACCTACTAGTCCTTACTGACTACTTCACTAAATGGATCGAGGCCAAACCATACCAACAAACGACCGAACTCGAGGTCCGGAAATTTATCTGGAAAGACATCATTTGTCGACACGGGCTCCCTTTCGAGATCGTGACAGATAACGGATCTCAGTTCATAGCTCGAACATTCAAAGACTTCTGCAAGAAGTGGAACATACGCATAACGTATTCCACACCTCGTTACCCTCAAGGGAAACGGGCAAGCTGAAGCAACAAACAAAACCCTCTTGAGTAACCTCAAGAAACGGCTCGACGCCCGTAAACATAGGTGGTCGAAGAGCTCGCAGCAGTTCTTTGGGCTTGCCGAACTACACCTCACAAAAGCTACTCATGAGACCCCGTTCTCATTAGCTTACGGGCTAGAGGCCGTCATCCCAACTGAAACTTCCGTTCCAAGTCTTCGCAGGATGCAATGTCCAGCGAACGTCGAGCTGAACGAAGAAATGTTGAGAGATCACCTTGACCTTATCGACGAACGTCGAGATCAAGCTCTGATCCGGATACAAAACTATCAACAGGCCGCAGCTCGCTATTATAATTCCAAGGTTAAGCACCGAAGATTTCATATAGGCGACATGGTCTGAGAAAAGTACAAGACTATACCAAAGAGCCCGGTGCGGGAAAACTTGGGACCAATTGGGAAGGTCCCTACCTCGTAACCGATGTAGTTCGCGATGGCGTCTACAAGCTCACAAAAGTCAGAAACGGAATACCTGAACTAAGACCTTGGAATGCGATGAACCTGAAAAGGTACTATCACTGAAAAGGATCTAATCTGAGTATCTCCACCCCTCGAACTACGTTTAGGCTTGATCCTCCTTCCCTGGGGGTACGTAGGCAGCTCAACCACGAGTCCAGCCCCAATCCGAATTTACTTCGTTTTATTTGAGACGACCTCATTGGCCGGCCCTAAAACGGGCTCGATTTGTATCATCTCGAATATTATACTTAAATAAAATGTTTTCTATGTTTATCGCTACGAATTGCTCGAATCGACTCAGCAAGTCCTTAAGAAATTCCGAATTACTTAAGCGTATCAATTTACGTCGAAAACGCCTGATCTTGCGTGACCTGAAAAGAAATCGAGCTCTTTCTCTCGTCTCAAAACAGATCGGAAGATCGAGATCACCTCGATATTCCCCTTTCGAACGAAGTGAGGTTCAGAGTCCACCTCTTTACCTTCAATTTCTTACTTCGCAAAAACCAATCGAAGTCCGCAGCGTCCAAGCATCCAGCGTAGTGTTCTAGCAATCGTAGAACCGAAGACCCAGAGACAGCCCGAAATCTAACACGAAGCCGAGCCATCCAGACGGACCTGAAGTTCACGATTAGCTCGGAACACTATCGGCGAAGCGACAAAACCAAGACGAACTTCGAAAGGTAATAAATTCCATCTCCAAAAGCCGAATAAGAAACACCTCGATCGAAAGACGGGAAAACAACTCCGCAAAGCGCGAGCTACATCAGTTCGCCAAAGAGCTCGAAAAAGAATAAACACCACGTTTAGCTCGATCCATGCGATCGACGAAAATCGGTAAAATTCGCCTAAGTGTTGAATCGATCTAATCGTCCCGAATTGGACTTGATTCGACCTAAAACTATGTTTAGCTCGTTCCACGCGATCAGCCAAAACTAGTAAAATTCGCCTAAGTGTTGAATCGATCTAATCGTCCCGAGTCGGACTCGATTCGACCTAAAACTACGTTTAGCTCGACACGATCGGCAAAAACTAGTAAAAATATTCTAAGTGTTGAATCAACCTAAACGGATCGATTCGACCTCCGACTAAAGTACATCTTGGCCCTGGTCTCTCGACCGGCCAAAACACTTAGTCAAAAAGCCTCAAAACATTTTGGCAAGTAAAACGCGAGCTAAAATGAAAGTTGCAAAACAATTTGAGCAAAATGCGCCTAAGGCAAAACGCCTAAGGCCAAAACATTAAAAGCCCCCGCGGGCAAACGAGTTTGTGGATAAAAGCCTTCCCAGGCACCAAATCCGAAACATAAAGCGTAAAAACCCCGCCGGGCAACCAAGTCTTAAAATAAATTGAAAAAGGAGTAGAGATAGAAAGAGGTCGACCAAGAGCTCAGTCCTCGACGGTCATCTCTTCATCTTCCTTCTCTTCCTCCTCGTTGCTTCCCTTCTCTTCGGCATTCGTCCCGAACGGGTTCAAGCCAACCGGGATGCTCGTCGATGGGTCGATCTCCATGCGCGCGACCGAGTCCTCCGAAACCACGGGAAGGTTGAACTTCCCGATCGAGAAATCGGAGACTTGGGCCGCCTTGGCTGCTTCGGCCACCTCATCCTCGAGCCCCTTCAACCTGGCGAGCTCTTCCTCCTGGTTGATCGCACCGGAGATCAGCGACGTAAGGAGATCGATGTTGGATTGGAGTTCGATCTGATCGCCCTCCTTCTCACCTTCCACCCTCTTCTCCTCGAACTTTGCCTTAGCCGATTCAAGCACTTCCCGATGCTTCGCGACCATCTCCCTCCGACCTGCGCGGTTGGCACGGCGAGCTACGTTGTCCTTCTCGGCGACGAGTACCTGGTTCTCCCGGCTAAGGCGAAGCGACTGCGTCAGCGCACTCGAGCTCTCCTTCTGCAAAGCCGCCATCTGCTCCTGATTCTGGGACAGCTGGCGCAAGAGATCGGCCTCCCTGGTCTCGAGCTCTTTCACACGACCCTCCTGCGAGGTGTGTTTCTTCAAGAGCTCACCCTGACGAGCTACCCGCTCGTTCGCCGCAGAGAGATCGGAGGTCAACTTGGCAACGAGCTCCTTCACCTGATCGAGCTCTTTCTGCTGAGGCGCGTCTCTGATCCTCGACTCCAGGCGGGACACCAACATGTTACGAGCTGCCACAGCCTAACAAAAACAAAAATTCAACCAAGGCCAAAACAACAACAAAGACTCTCGTCTAAAGTTTTGACTAGGGAAACAGTTCATACCCTCCCACTCGCAGCGCACGTCGCGATGTAGAGCTCCTTCTCAGACATCTGGTTCAGGGACGGGAGCCGGCATCCGACGGGCTTGAAGTGGAGCTGAATGCGAGCTGTTCCCTCCTCGTCGTCCTGAACGGGGAAGCCTTTGGAATTCTCGTACTGCCAGTAAAACGGCGGCTTTCCCCCGCTCCCGTTCGAGGTAGTCGGGCCGCCCTCGCGAGAACGAGTCTCTCCATCGTCACTCCGAGCTCGCTTCGGCGCCTGCCTCGAGTGACCTTGATCCGAACTCCGAGTCCGATCGGAGCTCACATGAACCGTACTCGGGAGAGGAACGATCTCTCCTTCAGCGGTCGCGTCGACCTGGTCAACCACCTGGTCGGCAAGGGCAGAAGACCCCGCCGTGGGCTTCGAAGCCATAGCCTCCTCCACCGCCGTTACGAACTCGCCGGCACGAACTCGACTTCCACCCGAGGAAGCGCCTTTGGCACCCTTTGCGGTCCGGGATCTGAGAGGCTGACGACGAGGCATTTTCGATCTGCGTGAGAGAGGAGGAACAGAAGAAGCGGAGCTAGAATCTTGCGCCGATCTAACCGGAAGATCAGCTGGAAAATTTATAAACAGCTCGTTACAAAGAGTTCGTAAAATGAATTTCTAGTTGGTCCAAGGGAGATTATTACCTGGAGGAGGAGCAGGAGGAGAGCTGAGAACTCGACGGATCCGTTCCGGAGTAAAAGTACTCCAGTTCACCTTTTCCCTTCCGAGTCGCTCGACGAGGTAATCAATCCCCGGGTTGTTCGGTACTGGATCTACAACTGCAAAAGACAAAAAAAATCATCAATAAACGAGGTATTCCATAAGTCAAGCGAGGTATCGACTATCCTAAACGGAAATCGGCCTAAGCTAACCAACGCTAGTCGCCCACTCCGTTCGGATTCGACCAAAGTCGAAGTCGCCCATCGTGGCCTCGCTGACCCGGAAGAAGAACATCTCGTCACTCCACCCGCTATCCCTCTGCGGGGTGTTCGTGAATATTCGCCGATTCGGCCTCGGCGAGGAGTAAAACGACCCGGGAAGCCTGGTGTTGTTCTTCACCGAGAAAAGCTTTCTCAGATCTCGAACACCGAACGAGACGCCCTCTTCCCGAGCTCGAACCGCACATCCTATCACGTGGCGGACGAAGCTCGGGTGCATCTGTGGAAACGCCATCTTGTAATGAGCGAGCGCTTCCATCAGAAAACGAGGGACCGGGAAAATCATCCCGGCGCTCCGCCAATACGACGTATAGGCGCAGCAAAACCCCGGACGAACATGCTCCGGGTCCTCTCCCTCAGCCGGAGAACGAGTTCGATCTCATCCGGGATCCCGAAATCCTGCCGGAAGTGTCGAGGCTTTCGGCGTCGAGCGTCGTCTCGGCGTGCGGCGTGAATTCCCGTCACCGCCGAGGTCGACGGCCTTTCCCTTCTCTTGCTTGACGATTGTCTTCGGAGGCATGATAGTCGGAGGAGGAGACGGAGGAAAAAGAGGTTGAAGGAGGTTTTGGAGAAATTCGAAATCGAAACAACCTAAAACGCTCGAAATTTTGCAAAGGTTCGATAATTTTCAAGAACTTGGAGTTATCTAATCTAAAATTGAAGAGCAAATAAATAAGTAAAAGAGAGAGGAGAAGTTACCTTTTCAAAAACGTGGGCACGGTTAAAGAGAAGAGTAGTGGGTCGAGTTTATATTCAGCATTAACTGCTGAAGAGATCGCAAAGAATCCGATTTTTCTGCGTGAATCTCGACCGTACAACTCACAGATCTTAACCGCTTGCATGCGACGAGCTGATGATGTGACGCGCTGTGGGTCCCAAACAGATCTCAGCCGCACGGGCTCTTCGCTCTCCTCGATCTGAACCGTCCGATTCGAAAACATAATCATTTCGAATCTCGGTAACACGCGATATCCGTTCTCCACAAGAGGAGCCACAAGAGGAGGAGGAAGAACTCCCTATGTACCAAGAGCATTACAATGCCCTCTTCTCCATGGACTTTATGGATACCAAGTACCCACATGTTGACACAATGAAGGCCCTTGTAATCTTTGAAGATGTGGAGCTAGTTCTCAAGGACATGCACTTGGCCAAGCTCTTCTCTTATCACATGGAATCCTACAAGGAGCTCACTTGCGAATTCCTAGCTTCAGTGAGGTACCACATGTACGAAGAGGAAGATAGAGCTGATTTGGACCAAGGATTGGGATGGATCACGTTCTTGGCTAAGGGAGAGAAGAGAAGGTACCAAGTGGAACTTCAAGGACAAGGAACTCCAAAGGGTTTGGGCAACAATCGCTGATGGAGAGTACTCTTCCTCAAGGTCTAAGGCTGCTCAAATCAGGAGCCCAGTGTTGAGGTATGTGCACAACGCACTTGCCAACACCTTCTTTGCAAAGAAGGCGACCGGGATCATTAACGAGGGGGAACTCAAGTTTCTTGACATGGGAATCAAGCCCATTCTCTCACGCACAAGTGATGGCAAGAGGATCAGGGGAGATAGATCCAACACAGGAAACTTGATGCCTTTCCTTGACCATCTCCTCACCTACAAGACCACAGCCTACAACACTAGACATCAACGAGGGAGGTGCCTAAGTGTTGGAGGGCTCATCACTCCTATCTTGTGTGCTGCTGGAGTGAACCCAACTGATAAGAGTGCCACTGAACGAGGATGGATGGACATCAAGTTTTGCAAGACAAACCTTCTCATTGAGCACAAGGAGTTGGATGGGAAGTTCCAATTCAAGTTCACACATCCATTGGCTGGCCCTTCCAAGCTCCTCCTGCCTAACCCAGAGCTCACCACAGTAGTCAGGGGTGAGAACATTGATTTCAGACCCCCTTTGTATACACTAGTTGGGCATGAGGACGATTTGCGAGAAGAGGAGCCTGAGCTCGATTGAGCTGAGAGTCGAGCTGACTCTCGAGCTGAGGATCAAGTCCAGGAGAGTGCGGATTTGGGTGAGCCTGAGTGCTACTATTTTGAGGAGTATGAGGCTCCAAGGATGAACCCCTCTGTTGTGGCTGCCCACAAGAGGATTGGACTTCTCCAAAAGTTCAACAAATGGCAAGGGAAGGCCATTGAAAAGATGCAAAAGTCCATGGACAAGATGGTGAGCAAGATCAAAAGTTTGGAGAAGAAGGTTTCTGGTTCATCAAGTAAGAAGAAGAAGGCTCCCATGAGTTCCACATTCCTTAGGAGTAGATCACTTCTCACCACTCCAAAGAGGCTCCCTGCCCAAGAGCCTCACAGAGCTTCTTCTTTCGAGCCAAGAGAGGGAGAAGACAACTCGCAGAGAAGGAGGAAGACTTCTAAGTCCAGACGCTCCAACTCGACCACTGGACTCGATCGAGTCCGATCAGAGGAAACTCAACTCGATCGAGCTGACGGTCGAGTTGGTCTTGAGGAGCCACAGTTTGAGGATCCAGGATTTGAATACGATCCAACGCCTTACCAGGAGCACCCTCGGAGTAGATGGAACCCCTATCCAACACATCGACTACGCCTTTCGGCCTGATCTTAGGCCCTGACTCACCCTCCGTGGACGAACCTTCATAGGGATATTGAATAGTTACAGGTAAACGATTTGTGTGGGATAAGGTAATCGTGAAACCTTGACCAATATACCTTGCAGCTTCTGGAAATCCTAGCTATTCTTAGCATGATATTGGGGAATCTCATTGCTATTACTCAAACAAGCATGAAACGTATGCACTCTGCTGGGCCGACACTGACACTGAGAGACGAAAGCTACGCCATGCTCCACCAAGGCCAAGGAAGCCACACACACTTTGATGAAGAAGAGGAAGAAGAGGAGCCGCAAGCTCGATCGAGTGAGGCGACCCAGTCAGTGGAGTGCTCCTGATGGCCGTCTACCATCTCCAGACCACGACCTTGCCTCCCAGTTCTTTGGGGGGCACTGAGGTATCAAACACCAACCCTTGTATATACCATTTCATATTTTCTTGCATTTGTTTTTGTTTTTCTTGGTTTTGCCCTCTTGAATCTTTCACTAATTTCTCTCACACAAGGGACTGTGTGATTTAAGTTTGGGGGAGGGTTCAAGAGATGATTTAACCTTGTTTTCTTTGTTCTTAGTTTTTCATTCATCTTTTGCATAGAAAAACCAAAAAAAAATCATAAAATTTTCAAAAAATCCAAAAATATTTTCATCTTTTTGCATTCATATTTGTTAGACTTGTTTAGGATTGCATTTTTCACTTGCATTGTTGATTTGACTTTGAAAACTTGTTCATCTTTTGCGATTTCTTGAGTGCCCTGTTTTTAGATTCTCTTGTGCATTAGGGTGAGATTGATTGAGCAACAAGAACCATGTTTATCTTGATCATATCACTGCATGCACATCTCATTCAACCATTGCTGTGATTTGATGCATTTCCCTATCTATTTGAACCATAACTTGATCTTTAATTACCAATGCTTGCATTTGATTTCAACTCATGGCTACCACATACATATCTGGACATTCTTTACCATTTTCATATCCCTCTTGCTTGTCCAGATAGCTGATCTCTATCTTTGAGACAGTTACCACACCTTAAACCTAAGCCTTTTCATTTCAAACCCCATATTATCTCTTGTGCGAATGTGAGAACCTTTCTTGGCTTTGCTTAGCATAAGGTGTTGTGTTTAAACCGGCAGGGGCAGTAGTTCTAGTTGTCTAGTTCTCTTGGGATTGTTTTCAGGCTAAGTTTGGGGGTGCCAACTCGAGCTCGATCGAGTTGGGTGTAAAAACCAGAAAAGTGGTAAAAGTTGGGAAAATCCAAAGGAAAAAGAGTTTAGTTAAGTCCAGGGAGTTGGCAGTGTTAAAAAGGGTCTAGTAAAGGTTTGGGAAGTTAAAAAAGGAAGTAAAAAGGGTTCTAAGTAGAATGAAAAGAAGGCAAAGCCTCAAGTGTCAAAAAGAAAGAAAAGTTCCCTAAGTGTTTAGAAAATCCCAAACCGCTAGATGTTACCTCAAGAAGCCTCTCCCTAGGAAGTTCTTAAAAGAAAAGTGAGCAAAGCTCCTCAGTTTCAAAGGCGAAATGCCAAAAAGGGTAGTTAGGATTTTGTTCTAAAAAGCTCTAAGTGTTGAACTCGATCGAGTTAGGATTAGACGGCTCGAGCTGCTGTTCTTGCATCATCTTTGGTTCTAACACTTAGCCTTCTGCCAAAGCAAAGCCACTTTCTTGAGAGATCCCTGTTACTAAACCACCATACAAAAGAGACCCTCTTTGTCTCTTAACCCATAAACCCTTGAAACCAAATGAGTTGATTGATCTTGCATGTTTTTGGTTCACTGTTTTTGCTTAATGAATGTTAAAGGGATTTGCTGATTTGAATGCATTGTTTGAGTGACTGTGAAGTGGGATTGATGTTGATAAGCATGGTTAAATCTTAATGAATATCTCTCACCTTGTTGCATTCTAGAATCTCTAAGTTGGACATTTAGCAAATCGCTTTTGAGGACATGTTTTTAAGTGTTGAATCAGCTTGTTTTCAAACCTCATCTCTTTCTTGTTCTATTTGTTTGCTTGAGGGCAAGCAAAGGTCAAGTTTGGGGGTGTTGATGTACTTGCATTTTACATAGTTTTAGTACATCTTTTATGCATCTTTTGCATAGTTTTAGCATCCATTAGCATCATATCTTGTTCCTTTTCTCTTCTTATGCATTCATAGTAGTTTTAGGTTGCATTTGCATACATATGCATGTTTGGTCCTTTGAAATAGGTCTTTTGGAGCATTCTGGAGCATATGGGACGTGAGGAGCATGGAGGACTTGGCACATGGACGCAGCTCAACTGGATACGCAAAGGAAGAAGGAGGAAGCCATCTTGAAGACCAGCTCGACCATCTACTCGACCAACCGGTCGAGTTCCTCAACTCGACCGGCCAAGCTTCAACTCGATCGAGCTGAGAAGTCAACAGTCAAACCCGAAAAATGTTGCTTCCCCCTTGACTTTCCTTTGACCCTAAACCTAATCCTCTTTGTATTTAAGGCTAAAAGCCACGAAAAAACCACCAAGCTTTAGATTACTTTTTGTTTTAGTTTCTTTTAATTTATTGTCTTTTACTTTTTAGAGCTCTAATCCCATCTTTGTGTTCTTGAAGCTCTTGCTTCTTGAATCCTAGATCCTGGATAATCCTTTTGTATTTGCACTTGCTTATTTCAATAAAAGTTGTTTAATTTCATCTCCTCTTTCTTATGATGTCTCTTTTATTGCATTTGCTTGTGTTTACATTCATGTGTAGTGAGTAGTTTTCATATGCTTAATCCTTCTTGCTTATGGTCTTAATCTAGATTCTCTCTCTTTTGGATAGATCTTAAGGCTACATGACCACTACCCCTGGCTTGTATGTCCTTAGGCGATTCTCCACATGGAAGTGATGGAAATCGCTGGAAAAGATCCACTAAGAGCTCCAATATCTCTTGCTCTAGAAATAGAGGTCTAAGGGGTTGGATGGATTAGTTTGGGCAATGATCCTATGGCATCCAAGACTCGAGTCCTAGGTCGAGTTGTTGCTCTACTGCTTTTATTTACTTTCTGCATTTCAATTCTGCTTCATTTAGGTTGTTAGTGTTACCCCAAATCTTTTACTGCTTGCTTGACTTCCTGGTTGTTTCATATTCTTATAGAGTGACAAGTTTTCCCATTTTGGATTGATAACCTCTGATACTACTTTGACTATGATGGTTAAGAGGAATTGATTGATTGTGATTGCACCATCTCATCTCTATTCACCCCTGTTTGCATTCCACCTCATTTCATATCATCCTTCATTCATATCACTTCACATCCACGTAAAATCCTATCATCAACGGTCGGCCGGATGATCGAGTCGTGGTCGTGTTGGAACGGTTGTGGCCGGATGGTTTCTCGATCGGCCGCTGAGGTCGGACGGGTAATGGTTTGGCCGATGCTTTCTCGGCCGGACGCGGGACATGGCTTCCCGGCTCGGACGGCGCCATCGGCCGTGATACGTGAGATAGGTCGCGCGGCCGCAAGGCGTTGCTTCCCGGCTCGCGCGGCATGGTTGTGCGCGGCATGGCATTGAGTGCTCGTGGCTTGGCCGACCGCGGGACATTGCTTCCCGGGTCGTGATGCGTACTCGGCCGGATGGATTGAACTTTGGCCGAGACTTCTGACGGATGGATACTATTTTGGCCGATCGCGAAACATTCGTTTCTCGGCCGGCCGCTCTGCACGGCTTGCCCGCGGTTTCTCGATAGAGCCATCTGGACCAGTCTTCACTCTTTTGGTTATAACTCCTTTTCTACTCATCCAAATGAGGCCGTTCCAGTTGCGTTGGAAAGTTAACTCACTCAGAGCGCGCAGGGAACTGGTCTTGATGAAATCCATTGAGTAGATCTTTTTATGGGCCCTCTTAAAGTTGATGCTTGTGTATGGAGCGGATTGAAGCGCCAAATCTATGGTTTTGCTCCAAAATGCATCATTTCACCTGTTTAGACTCTAGACACTATAAACACAGTAAAACTACCTTTTTATATAGAAAACCTGCCAAAAACCATTAGAAAACAATACTAAAATAGTATAAGAAGCATGTAAAATAGAGGTATATCATTACCACACCTTAAACCTAAGCCTTTTCATTTCAAACCCCCCTTATTATCTCTTGTGCGAATTGTGAGACCTTTTCTTGGCTTTGATTAGCATAAGGTGTTGTGTTTAAACCGACAGGGGCAGTAGTTCTAGTTATCTAGTCCTCTTGGGTTCGTTTTCAGGCTAAGTTTGGGGGTGCTCATTTGAGCTCGATCGAGTTGGGTGTCAAAACCAGAAAAGTGGTAAAAGTTGGGGAAAACCAAAAGAAAAGAGTTTAGTTAAGTCCAGGGAGTTGGCTTTGTTTAAAAAAGGGTCTAGTAAAGGTTTGGGAAGTTCAAAAAAAAGAAAGGAAAAAGGGTTCTAAGTAGAAGAGAAAAAAAGGCAAAGCCTCAAGTGTTCAAAAGAAAGAAATTCCCTAAGTGTAGAAAAATCCCAAACCGCTAGATGTTACCTTAGTAGCCTCTCCCTGTATTGTTCTTAAAAGAAAAGTGAGCAAAGCTCCTCTGTTTCAAAGGCAAAATGCCAAAAGGGTAGTTAGGATTTGTTCTTTAAAAGCTCTAAGTGTTGAACTCGATCGAGTTAGGATTAGGTTGCTCGAGTTGCTGCTCTTGCATCATCTTTGGTTCTAACACTTAGCCTTCTACCAAAGCAAAGCCACTTTCTTGAGAGATCCCTGTTACTAAACCACCATACACTCAAAAGAGACCCTCTTTGTCTCTTAACCCATAAACCCTTAAACCAAATGAGTTGATTGATCTTGCATGTTTTTGGTTCACGATTTTACTTAATAAATGTTAAAGGGATTTGCTGATTTGAATGCATTGTTTGAGTGACTGTGAAGTGGGATTGATGTTGATAAGCATGGTTAAAATCTTAATGAATATCTCTCACCTTGTTGCATTCTAGAATCTCTAAGTTGGACATTTAGCAAATTGCTTTTGAGGACATGTTTTTAAGGCTAAATCGACTTGTTTTCAAACCTCATCTCTTTCTTGTTCTATTTGTTTGCTTGAGGGCAAGCAAAGGTCAAGTTTGGGGGTGTTGATGCATTTTGCATGGTTTTAGTACATCTTTTATGCATCTTTTCAATAGTTTTAGCATCCATTAGCATCATATCTTGTTCCTTTTCCCTTCTTGTGCATTCATAGTGACCGTTTCACTCATGTTTGTCCTCATAGTCATGTGTAGAAGCTGTTAATCCATGTTTTGGTAAGTATGGGTCCATCTAGTTCATCTTATACACTACAAGTGAGTTTCCACAATGTGGAGGCACAGAGGTACATTTCGGACTCCTTACCTCTTCCGGTTCCCAAATTTGGTCCATTTGATGTTCCTCCCTTGGATTGAGACCGTTTCACTCATGTTTGTCCTCATAGTCATGTGTAGAACCTATTAATCCATGTTTGGTAAGTATGGGTCCATCTAGTTCATCTTATACACTACAAGTGAGTTTCCACAATGTGGAGGCACAGAGGTACATTTCGGACTCCTTACCTCTTCCGGTTCCCAAATTTGGTCCATTTGATGTTCCTCCCTTGGATTGAGACCGTTTCACTCATGTTTGTCCTCATAGTCATGTGTAGAAGCTATTAATCCATGTTTGGTAAGTATGGGTCCATCTAGTTCATCTTATACACTACAAGTGAGTTTCCACAATGTGGAGGCACAGAGGTACATTTCGGACTCCTTACCTCTTCCGGTTCCCAAATTTGGTCCATTTGATGTTCCTCCCTTGGATTGAGACCGTTTCACTCATGTTTGTCCTCATAGTCATGTGGAGAACCTATTAATCCATGTTTGGTAAGTATGGGTCCATCTAGTTCATCTTATACACTACAAGTGAGTTTCCACAATGTGGAGGCACAGAGGTACATTTCGGACTCCTTACCTCTTCCGGTTCCCAAATTTGGTCCATTTGATGTTCCTCCCTTGGATTGAGACCGTTTCACTCATGTTTGTCCTCATAGTCATGTGTAGAACCTATTAATCCATGTTTGGTAAGTATGGGTCCATCTAGTTCATCTTATACACTACAAGTGAGTTTCCACAATGTGGAGGCACAGAGGTACATTTCGGACTCCTTACCTCTTCCGGTTCCCAAATTTGGTCCATTTGATGTTCCTCCCTTGGATTGAGACCGTTTCACTCATGTTTGTCCTCATAGTCATGTGTAGAACCTATTAATCCATGTTTGGGTAAGTATGGGTCCATCTAGTTCATCTTATACACTACAAGTGAGTTTCCACAATGTGGAGGCACAGAGGTACATTTCGGACTCCTTACCTCTTCCGGTTCCCAAATTTGGTCCATTTGATGTTCCTCCCTTGGATTGAGACCGTTTCACTCATGTTTGTCCTCATAGTCATGTGTAGAACCTATTAATCCATGTTTGGTAAGTATGGGTCCATCTAGTTCATCTTATACACTACAAGTGAGTTTCCACAATGTGGAGGCACAGAGGTACATTTCGGACTCCTTACCTCTTCCGGTTCCCAAATTTGGTCCATTTGATGTTCCTCCCTTGGATTGAGACCGTTTCACTCATGTTTGTCCTCATAGTCATGTGTAGAACCTATTAATCCATGTTTGGTAAGTATGGGTCCATCTAGTTCATCTTATACACTACAAGTGAGTTTCCACAATGTGGAGGCACAGAGGTACATTTCGGACTCCTTACCTCTTCCGGTTCCCAAATTTGGTCCATTTGATGTTCCTCCCTTGGATTGAGACCGTTTCACTCATGTTTGTCCTCATAGTCATGTGTAGAACCTATTAATCCATGTTTGGTAAGTATGGGTCCATCTAGTTCATCTTATACACTACAAGTGAGTTTCCACAATGTGGAGGCACAGAGGTACATTTCGGACTCCTTACCTCTTCCGGTTCCCAAATTTGGTCCATTTGATGTTCCTCCCTTGGATTGAGACCGTTTCACTCATGTTTGTCCTCATAGTCATGTGTAGAACCTATTAATCCATGTTTGGTAAGTATGGGTCCATCTAGTTCATCTTATACACTACAAGTGAGTTTCCACAATGTGGAGGCACAGAGGTACATTTCGGACTCCTTACCTCTTCCGGTTCCCAAATTTGGTCCATTTGATGTTCCTCCCTTGGATTGAGACCGTTTCACTCATGTTTGTCCTCATAGTCATGTGTAGAACCTATTAATCCATGTTTGGTAAGTATGGGTCCATCTAGTTCATCTTATACACTACAAGTGAGTTTCCACAATGTGGAGGCACAGAGGTACATTTCGGACTCCTTACCTCTTCCGGTTCCCAAATTTGGTCCATTTGATGTTCCTCCCTTGGATTGAGACCGTTTCACTCATGTTTGTCCTCATAGTCATGTGTAGAACCTATTAATCCATGTTTGGTAAGTATGGGGGTCCATCTAGTTCATCTTATACACTACAAGTGAGTTTCCACAATGTGGAGGCACAGAGGTACATTTCGGACTCCTTACCTCTTCCGGTTCCCAAATTTGGTCCATTTGATGTTCCTCCCTTGGATTGAGACCGTTTCACTCATGTTTGTCCTCATAGTCATGTGTAGAACCTATTAATCCATGTTTGGGTAAGTATGGGTCCATCTAGTTCATCTTATACACTACAAGTGAGTTTCCACAATGTGGAGGCACAGAGGTACATTTCGGACTCCTTACCTCTTCCGGTTCCCAAATTTGGTCCATTTGATGTTCCTCCCTTGGATTGAGACCGTTTCACTCATGTTTGTCCTCATAGTCATGTGTAGAAGCTATTAATCCATGTTTGGTAAGTATGGGTCCATCTAGTTCATCTTATACACTACAAGTGAGTTTCCACAATGTGGAGGCACAGAGGTACATTTCGGACTCCTTACCTCTTCCGGTTCCCAAATTTGGTCCATTTGATGTTCCTCCCTTGGATTGAGACCGTTTCACTCATGTTTGTCCTCATAGTCATGTGTAGAAGCTATTAATCCATGTTTGGTAAGTATGGGTCCATCTAGTTCATCTTATACACTACAAGTGAGTTTCCACAATGTGGAGGCACAGAGGTACATTTCGGACTCCTTACCTCTTCCGGTTCCCAAATTTGGTCCATTTGATGTTCCTCCCTTGGATTGAGACCGTTTCACTCATGTTTGTCCTCATAGTCATGTGTAGAACCTATTAATCCATGTTTGGTAAGTATGGGTCCATCTAGTTCATCTTATACACTACAAGTGAGTTTCCACAATGTGGAGGCACAGAGGTACATTTCGGACTCCTTACCTCTTCCGGTTCCCAAATTTGGTCCATTTGATGTTCCTCCCTTGGATTGAGACCGTTTCACTCATGTTTGTCCTCATAGTCATGTGTAGAACCTATTAATCCATGTTTGGTAAGTATGGGTCCATCTAGTTCATCTTATACACTACAAGTGAGTTTCCACAATGTGGAGGCACAGAGGTACATTTCGGACTCCTTACCTCTTCCGGTTCCCAAATTTGGTCCATTTGATGTTCCTCCCTTGGATTGAGACCGTTTCACTCATGTTTGTCCTCATAGTCATGTGTAGAACTATTAATCCATGTTTGGTAAGTATGGGTCCATCTAGTTCATCTTATACACTACAAGTGAGTTTCCACAATGTGGAGGCACAGAGGTACATTTCGGACTCCTTACCTCTTCCGGTTCCCAAATTTGGTCCA